AGCAGGGCAGAGGCAGAGAGAAGAGAAAAATTAGGAGAGAGAAGATCAGAGAAAAGAAAGAATCAGAAGGAAGAAGATGCAGATGCGCAAAAACGTCGGAAAGTGGCGAACAATTGTGTTTTTTCCAATGATTTGTGGTTCCGGAGGGTCCAAAAGTAGGCTCGCTAAAGCGGCGGGTGCGGAGCCAGCTGGCCAGATGAGAGATGAAAAATTGCACGCGGTTGTGGCGCGAAACACATTTCGAAGTCAAAATGTACAAAACACACCATGCTCGGACCACTTTTGGAAGTTGAGATGTCGAAAAAGTGCACGCCGTTGTGGCACGAAGCACATTTCGAAGTGAAAATGCACAAAACTTTTCCGTGTCGGACCACTTTTGGACATTCAGAGCTCGTTTCGCGTGGCAGGCGCAAGGGATTGTGCACCTTGTCAAAAGTGAGCAAAACCTGCGGGTTTTGTGGCATTTTCAACTACAACCACCACTACACCACACTACACTCCAATACACTACACAACAACTACAACTACACCTTCACATTCCACTACATTACACTTTACTACACCCACTACACTCCACTACACACCACTACATTACACTCAATCACAACAATTACAACAATTACACTCAATTACACTACACTACATTACACTACACTACACTCCGCTACACTACATTACACTACCTTCCACTACACTACATTACACTCCACTACACTAAGTTACACTACACTACGTTACACTACACTACCTTCCACTACATTTCACTACATTACACTCCACAACACTACAACTACAACTACACTCCACTACACTCCACTACGCTCCACTACACTCCACTACAGTAAATTACACTACACTACACTACATTACACTACACTACACTCCACTACATTACACTACACTACCTTCCACTACACTTCACTACATTACACTACACTTCACTCCACTACACTACAGCTACAACTACAACTAAACAACTACACCCCACTACACTCCACTACACTACATTACACTACACTACACTCCACTAGACTACATTACACAACACTACACTACCTTCCACTACACTTCGCTACATTACACTACACTACACTCAACTACACTACAACTGCTACAACTACAACTACACTCCACTACACTCCGCTATACTAAATTACACTACACTACACTACATTCCACTACACTCCCACTAGACGACACTACATTACACTACACTACATTACACTGAATGACACTGCACCACAGATAGACAGGTAGACAGATAGCCAGATAGATAGATAGATAGACAGACAGATAGACAGGTAGACAGCTAGACAGGTAGACAGATGAAAGAGAGAGAGAGAGAGAGGTAGATAGATAGATAGACAGATAGATAGATAGACAGATAGACAGAAAGATGGCTAGATAGACAGACAGGCAGATAGAGAGATAAACAGATAGACAGATATATGGACAGATAGATAAACAGATATAGATAGATAGCTAGATAGATAAATAGATAGATAGATAGATAGATAAGGTAGGTAGATAGATAGATAGATCGAAAGGTAGCTAGATGAGAGAGAGAGAGAGATAGATCGATAGATAGATAGATAGATAGATAGATACAGAGATAGATAGATAGATAGATAGGTAGGTAGGTAGGTAGATAGTCAGAGAAAGAGAGAGAAAGAGAGGAGACCTCAACCACCTTTCGGTCCATCAGTGGCTTCGCTCTGCCATCCCTGATTCACAACAACCAACCTCTCCTATAGGTTTCGTATTTTTGAAACTTCCGCCACCGCCTTGTGCGGTACTACTGGTATAATTATATTCCAATTATATTTACATATATATATATACATGCAAAAATCAAGAAATAAAATTATCATAAATTATCTGTATAATTATATATACATACATATATATATATCTTTTTCAATCTAAATTGCATGACGCAATTCTATCAGCCAAGCACCTTAGGAAATATCATCGAAATCCTAATTTCCGAAGAGGATACTCGTGTTTTATGTACCAACAAAAAATGAAATTCTACGATACGCATTCATTGAAGACGGGGCAGTAAGCCCATAACATCCATAACCGACCGTCCATAAGGATCTAAAAAGGTGCTTGGACATTGGCGGCATTTTGCCAGCCGGACGAAGCTGAGTCCAAGCTTCGCGTCGTCAATTTCATTGTCCCAGCTGCCGAAAGGGCGCTGGCTGGTGGTAATTTTGGCTTCGGCTTGGACAAAGGACGCTGCTGCGGTGGTTGGGTGCCGTTGGTATGTGACGAATCGATCTAGAGCAGGAACCCACACGACGCGAATCGAGGTCATACATATACCCGGGATCATATAGAGTGCCTGTAGATTTGCCCCATTAATTCTGCACAAGTAGAACTTTTGGAGATGAATTGAACCACGCAAATGTTTGAGTAAATTGGATACCATCTTAGTATGCAAGTTCTGTCAACGAGCATTAAATTTTCGATGCGCCGGGACAAAGTAGTAGATAAACGCCCAAATATCATTCAATATCCACCATTCCTTATCAAATCTTTAAATATCTTGGATCTATTCGTGAATCTGGGTGCTTGAATTCAATAAGGGAAACCTGTGAATTCTTGTGCAGCGCGTTTTGTCCAAGGCCAACTGTAAGGACTTCCATCCTTTCTGGGCATTGGCTCAATTCGGCTGTCACAAATCTCGTGTCAAGTCGACCTCCATTAAGGATGACTCCTTAGGCTGCTGTTGGGCAGAATTCAGAGTTTGGAAGGGTCTGTAGAATTGAACCATCCAACGCTGCCTGGAGGAATCTCTAAGAACCTAAAGCGGTAGCTGCATCACATCGCAAATCACCCTTGAAAGGAGCCAAATGGCATCATCATCATCATCATCATCATCATCATCAGCATCAGAATCACCATCATCATCACCACCACCATCATCACCACCATCACCATCACCATCAGCACCATCACCATCACCAGCACCATCACCAGCACCATCACCAGCACCAGCACCAGCACCATCACCATCACCATCATCATCATCATCATCATCATCTCTTTATCACATGTTGACACTAATGTGGAAGCTTCCTGCAATGGGTGGTATAAAACCATCGCCTCTCTCTCCCTCCCAACCGCCGTTTCCGGGAGATCAGCATTCATGCTGAAGGCGCTGCCAAATTTCCCCACACGCAACATTAAAAACAACAACAACAACGACAACAACAACAACAACAACAACAACCAACAACCAACAACCAACAACCAACAAACAACAAACAACAAACAACACAAACAACAAACAACACAAACAACACAAACAACACAAACAACAACAACAACAACAACAACAACAACAACAACCACAACCACAACCACAACCCAATACATACATATACTACATAAAGAACATACATTAAACATCACTAAGCCCGACTTTCTGTGCTGGAATTAGGCCTTTTTTTAAAACACATTCCATGTGGATCAGCTCAGCTTAGCGTCTTTGCTGCTCAATCTGCTGGTCAGATCCACCTCCACCATCTCCGCTGCGAAGTCGCCCAGCGTCACCGCGCGCCCTGCGCGCCCCGGCAGGCTGGGAACACCTGGCAGCCCTGCAGCCAGGCTGCGGCGCACGCCCATGGGTTCCGTGAAGCTGGCCTGAAGGGGATACTTGGTGGATTTCGTAGCAAATGAATGCACAGGGTGGGTGATTTGTAAGAACAGCAACTGGAGTTGATATTCAATAATATATATGTGTGAAATCATATGTCCCATGTCAATGTTGAACTCTTTGAATCATCCATGCAATTGTGCATATCTCATGCGATCCATGCCGAGACTTCGAAGCATGGGGCCCGAGTCATCCAGAAAAGGTGCAGTTTCTGTTGCCAATGTGGTCCGAAAGGATCACAGTGGTAGCGGAGCCAACTTCGAGTTGGCGCCGCCATGTCGACTGCAGCTGAGCGGTTGGATGAGCGTCCTAAGCTAGAGGCCTTTGATGGCTCCGACCCAGGTGCCTATAAGGCATGGAGGAGGAGAGCAAGATTGATGCTTGCTGGGTTGCCCAGCACCGTGAATGCGAGCAAGTATGGTGCTCGCCTGATGGAGTTTGTCAAGGGCGAAGCTGAAGCGCTCTTGGAGACGGTGGAGGTAGAAGACATCATCAAGGAAGGCGGGGAAAAGACCATACTGGCCATCCTCGATGAGAAGTACCTTCCACAACCTCGAGACCTACTGCAAGAGGCGCTTCGAGGGTTCTTCTATGACCTGGTGATCAAGCCAGGGGAAACATACCAACAATTCCTGACCAGGTTTGATACCGCCTTGCGCAAGTTGAAGACTCAGGAGGTCGTGTTGCCGGATGTGGTACTTGGATTCATGCTGCTGCGCAAGCTGAAAATGGAGCCAAACCAGGAGAGCATGATCCTGACGGCCACTGGAGGCAAGATGGACATCAAGGATGTGGTCACGCATGTGAGGGCGATTTTCCCAGAAGGCAAAGGCACGTCACGGAACAAGGAGGTGTTTGAAGTGACAGCTGAGGCTAGCTCAAGTGAAACAGCCTTGGATCTCCAAGGACATGCAGAAACTATTGAAGATGTTCTTGAAGTCATCACTGATCCTCTTCAAGGAAGTGGCGACGAGGAGGAAGCTTTAGAGATCTTCGAGTCCTATGTCGAGGTCAGGAAGAAGTTGCAGGAGAAGAAGAAGAGCCGAGGATTTATGCCTCGTGATGAGGCGAGCCAATGGAGAGTCAGCGGAACACTCAAAGGTCGCATTGACCTTTTGAAGCAGAAGACACGTTGCCACATCTGCAAGCGCTTGGGGCATTGGAAGAAAGAATGTCCCGAGAAGGCCAGCAGATCTTCTACGACCACCACGAAGTCCAAGCACGTGGAGAAGGAGGCTCATGCTACCGAGGTGATGTCAGCAGAAGTGGTGCAGTTGGTGACTGGCAATGCCGAGCATGATCGGGTGTGGCAGATCTTCGACGCCAAGCCTGCCAAGGCGGTCAACTGGAAGAGCAGTGTGGACGTGCAGAAAGATGGCTTCGCAGATTCTCACGCGACTGGCAACCGTCAGCGCTTGGAAGACATGGCGGAGAGGGAAGAAAAGATCCCGACCACAGTGGCAATGACAGATGACTTGGAGGGCCCCATGCAGAAAAACGAGGTGATGATTCTCCCCAAGCACATCAGTCATGGAAATGAAGTACTGAGTGCGGAAGCTGAAGTGAGTTTCTCCGGATTTGATCCTGCTCTGAGTCGCAATGCGATTCCAGACACAGCCTGTCGACGCACGCTGATCGGGTCATACACGCTGCGGCAGTTAGAGCAACATCTTTTGAAACAAGGGAAAGTCATTATTAAACGTAATGAGAAGAATGAGTTTCGTTTTGGGAACAACGGTACTCTGGTTTCAAAGGAAGTTGCAATCATTCCAGCCTGTGTGAACCGTAAGAGAATTTTGATTAGGGCTTCCATTCTCCCCGACAGTGGTTGTCTGACTCCGTTGTTGTTGTCGAAGGAGTTTTTGCGTGATTTGGGTGCTGAGATCAACATGAATCATGATATTGTTGTTTTTCGTGCTCTTGGGACTGAAATCAAACTGAACGAGACTCAACGGGGTCACTATGCCATTCCTATGTTTGATTTTTGTGATGAATGCTTTAAAACTGACCAGACTGATGGCAAGTGCAAGAATGAACGGATCTTCAACATCACAGCTCTCGAACTAGGTGAACAAAACAGCCCCGAGGAGAGAACCGTCCTTGCTGTTCCTCGCCATGAGCAAGATGATGGATGCCGAAGTGGTGAAAATGATGGAGAATGTCAAGAACACGCATCCGAAGATGGGCATGACTATGCAGGAGCTGGATGCAGCACCAGATCATCCCAGCGACGATCTTCGCTGTCAGATGCATGGCGACACGATCATCAAGGAGGGCAAGTATGCAAAGCGTGGCGAGATGAAGAGTGTGGCAAAACAGTACGAGAGCGACAAAGGGTACATGGAGTGGATCCGCAATCACATCAACAGCAAGTCGAGCATGGAGATGCAACGACTGAGGATCTACATCTACCAGAGGGATGCTCAGAAAAAGGATCGGCTGATGCGCGAGAGAGCTCGCGACATGGAAGTCCATCGTCCAGCATGGATGGAGACGGGGTCATTTCACAACATGACCATGATGAGCGGCTCCTTGAACAGCGACTGGAGCCATGTGAGTTTGGCCGAGACAACAGGCCATCGACGCCGAGGGACGCGTCGCACACAGGAGCAGCAGAAAGAGATTCTGGAGAACTGGGAGAACATGGTGAAAAGCCTGTGTCAGAACTATCTGCTGAAGGAGAACCAGATGACGATGCACATCAATGCGATGCATCCCAAGACCCTTGCACGGTTCATGATGAACATGATCACGTATTAGTATGTGATCAGAATTTTTCATGCAATGCAGCTGATGTACCAGACATCCATGTCCGCAATCATGGTCGGCAAACAAAAGAAAAGAGCGATGGGGGGGTTCTCAAGAAAAACACCAGGAGAGAACTTGAGAGAAATATTCATGATATCAATGTGTGCTGTAATCATGAAGAGGGTTGGAACTCTAGTCCCATCAAACATGATCTTTTTGTCGTCCAAGTTCAACATGATAAGATGGATGTAGGTGAGGTGTTTTCACTACCAAGGGTGCTGCCAGCTGCTGAGCGTACTGGGTTGAAAGGTCTGAATGACTTAGGAACTGGTTGGAATTTTCTCAATGAGAGTCATCGAAAACAGTGCCGGGAAGAAATTCAGAAACATGGTCCGGAAGTTTTGATGGTTTCTCCACCATGCGGTCCGTTCTCACAGATCAAACGCATCAGTAAATTCAAAGAAAATGCTGCGAGTCGTGAACGCAAACTGATCGAGGGCAGGGTTCTGTTGCAGTTTGCCATGGAACTGTGTGAGTTGCAACACTCACGAGGGAAAATATTTATTTTTGAACATCCATCAGGAGCTGACAGCTGGTGGGAAGACTGTCTTCAGCATGTTCGTAGGTTGCCAGGAGTCAACGTTGTTGATACATGTCAATGCATGTTCGGTTTGAGGGATCCCCAGAATCACAAACTTTATAAGAAGCCTACCACGTTCATGTCCAATTCTGAGTTTCTTCACATGTTGCAGCGACAGTGCAATCACAAACATGATCACCAGCGTATTGAGGGCCAAACGAGACTTGGTGGTAGGTGGATCAATAGGTCGACTTGTGCTCAGGTGTATCCATACCAGCTTGTGAAACAAATGGTTCGAATGGTCTGGAATGAAAAATGGAAAAAACAAGAACATGAGGCACATGAGGTCATGCAACATGAGGTGTTCACAGGTGAATGGAAAACTTCCAGCAGCGACACCAAGAACTCAAAGGAACGAGAGGAAGAGAGACTTGCAAAGATCAAAGCGTATGTTCGAGTGTGTCATGTGAACCTAGGACATCCCAGTCGTGAGAGATTCATACACATGTTGAAATCTGCCAATGCACATGAAGATGCTATTGAGTATGCCAAGCAAATGCAGTGCAGCACATGCAGTTCAAATCGGTTGAAGGATCTTCGAGGGGTTGCCAAATACAAAAGATCTGAACGGTTTAACGAACAATTATGTATGGACACCTCGAGTTGCCTATATATCAACAAAAGAAATTGAAAGTGCTGAATATTGTTTGTGAGGGTACTGGAATGCAGGTCTGTGTACCGTTGTGGCGTGGCTCAAAGGCCAGTGAAGTTCGTAAGGCGTATCGAAAATACTGGTTGCGATGGGCTGGGAAACCACGACGTGTTCTGACCGACGGTGGTGGCGAATTTGATGCAGAAATGCAACTGGGGTTGGATCGTGATGGCACACTGGTTGACAAAACGGCAGCATATGCACCATGGCAGAATGCCATCGCTGAGCGTGGTGGAGGTGCATGGAAGGATGTCTTTGAGAAGGCGTTCAGCGAGACCCAACCTAGGAATAGAGAAGAAGTTGATGAACTGATAGATCATGTCAACAATGCACGAAACTCTATGGCTAGGAAGCATGGATACTCACCAATGCAGCATGTTTTTGGCTGTGATCTGCGAATGCCAGGCATAGTTGATGAAACAAGCCTGGTGATTCCTGGAACAAGACAATATCATGCTGGTGACAGCTGTGTGGGATCAAACGAACGTCGACTGGCGGCTCGTAAGGCATTTTTGGAGGTGGATGAGAAAGACAAAGTACGAAGAGCAATGAGTCACCGATCTCGTGACACTGCGGAGTTTGAGGTGGGGCAAATCGTCTATTATTGGAGACCACAACGAGAAGGAGAAGCCAGAGGGTCCTAGAAGGGACCAGCCCGCGTGATTGGATTCCATGAGAAGAGTCGCATTTGGGTCGCACATGGAAACAAAGTTTTACGATGTGCACCTCAACAACTGAGAGAAGTCACACCAGAACAAGAGGCAGCTCTTCGCTATGTGCCTGTGGAGGTTCTGGCCAAGAAGGGCAAATATGTCATGCGCGGAGCGCAGACATTCACTGACATTTCTGGAAAAGACATGCCTGGAGAAAAAGAACGAGATGAGCCAATCGGTGAGCCGTTGCCTAAACGACAGCGGCGACAAGAAGGACTACAGTCATCTAGCGATGCTGAGGAAATCCATGGAGAAGATGATCAAGGAGATGAAGCACCAATGGCTCAAGCAGGTGGTGAAGGTGAGATTGATGAAGAGTCAACTGTGACGGGAGACAACACCAATGTCATCCCTTCCGCAGATGGTACTGAAACTGGATCACAACCACCGGAACTCAATGCAGTAGCCATTCCGTTTTCTGAAGGCAGTAGTAGTGCATATGGACCAGTGCGTGAGATGAGAAATGTGCAGCATGAAACGACTGCACTTACTGATGCACTACGGAGATCAACCGAGTTGTTGGACATGGGTGATCGAAGAGCTCATGCTGGAGCACATGGAGCGTACGAGGTACATTTAGCCAGTGAAGAGCACAATACATGTGAGATGAGTGTGGCTGAATGGAAAATGAGAGAAACTGCTATGGAACAACATTTGGAATCATTTTTGGTGAATGACCGAGGGGCCAATGAACTGCGAGACAAAGATCTCACAGCCCCAGAGGATGTAGAAAAAGTAAATAAAGGTAAAATAGCAGAATGGGAAAAGCTGATGAAACATCGAGCAATTCGATGTGTTGAAGGTCCAGAGGCGACAAAGATTCGCAATGGACCTGATGCAAAACGCATCATGGATTCACGCTTCGTAAAGACAAGAAAGGCGGCAGCTGATGGGACAAAGACCGGTGATATAAAATGTAGATGGGTCATCAAGGGGTTTCAAGATCCTGATATTGACACCTTGTTACGGCAAAGTCCTACTTTGACTGCTGATGGACTGGCAGTGACGTTACAAATCATCAGCTCAATGAGGTGGTATCTTAATATTTGCGATATTGAGGGTGCCTTTCTTCAGGGAGGTCAATATGAAAGACCCCAAGGGAAAATATATGCAAGAATTCCGAAAAAAGGGGTGCCGAATGTTTCAAATGACTGTCTTGTTGAACTCACAAAGTGCGTTTATGGATTGATTGACGCACCACTTCAATGGTGGAACTGCTTCACTAAATGCTTGACTGAACTTGGAATGCGACAGAGTGAGCTTGACCCGTGTTGTTTTAGGTACTATCATGATCATGAGTTGCATGGTGTTTTGGCTTTACATGTTGACGACATGGTTTTGGGAGGGTCACATGTTTTCATGCAGAACGTTGTCAAAAAGATGCGAGAGAAGTTTCCCTTTAAGCACTGGATCACACAAAGAGGTGAGTTTCTTGGTAGGCAACTGGAACAAAAGGATGATTTTTCAATTGTGATTGACCAAGCGAGTTATGCCCGAAAAGTGAAAACCATTGAAATCAGCAAAGAAAGAAGGAAAGAAAAGGATTCTCCTGTGAATGAAAAGGAGAAACAACAACTTAGAGCTGTTCTAGGTGCTGCGAACTGGATGGTGGGCAGTAGTCGACCGGACCTTGCTGCTCACACTGCCTTGCTTCAACAGAGTATCAATAAGGCATGCGTCAGCGATCTCATCGAAGCCAACAAACTTGTGGCTCGAATCCGTGACTTTGCCCATGTTACCGTACAAATACGTAGTATTCCTTTGGAACATGCCATGGTGGTTGCCACCTCTGATGCAAGTTGGAGCAACACAGAGACTCTGGGAAGTCAGGCTGGATACTTCATCCTTTTTGCTGATCGGAGATTAGAGGACAACCATTGGGCTCATGTGTCTGCACTGCGTTGGAAGAGCTACAAAATGGAACGAAAGACTCAATCGACACTGGCAGCTGAACTGATGGCACTTGCCCGTGCTGTGGCTGAATGCAACTGGATCCGATCTCTCTTTGGTGAAATGATTTATGAAAACTACACTTTGGAGAAGGGCAAGCAATACCGAGAGAAGATCCGAATGATGCTGGTGATTGACTGCAAACCAGTGTATGACCACATACATGGTGTGGGTGTAGTAGTGAAAGACAAGCGAGTAGCCATAGACATGTTGCTGGTGCGAAGAGATTTGAGATCTACGAATGCTGTTCTACGTTGGGTCGACACTCGACAAATGTTGAGCGATGCCCTCACAAAGTTGAATGCTGATCCGGAGTTCATGCAGTATGTTCTGAAGTTTGGTCAGTATATTGTTGTTAAGGAAACTGATTCTTTGAAATGGAGGTCCCAAGAAAGAAACAACAGACAGCCCAGGGGAAAGCGACATTGACATGAACTATTTTTGGGATGTGTGAAATCATATGTCCCTTGTCAATGTTGAACTCTTTGAATCATCCATGCAATTGTGCATATCTCATGCGATCCATGCCGAGACTTCGAAGCATGGGGCCCGAGTCACCCAGAAAAGGTGCAGTTTCTGTTGCCACTGTGGTCCGAAAGGATCACATATATATATATATAATACACACACACACATATATATATATAATATATGAACATTTCATGAAATTACTGTAGGCCAAGCTTCCAAGAACCAGATTTAAGCATTCAACAGGGGGGACGCTAACCAATTGAAGCACATATGATGTATCTTGCATGGCAATTCCACAGATCCTACCTGCTTGACTTGGCTATCGAGGAAGAATGAATCAATCAACACCGAACCTGGACGAGAAACGAATCAACTGGATGCTGGTCACTATCTCTCCAAGACTAAGAACCATCGTCCATTAAAAGCGGCAACCGCACCATGATGATGGTGTTGTCTGATCACTAAATGGACTGTCATCCTAGCAGGGCACTGCTTGTGCAGCATCAAGCGGATGTTTGTTTGATGTTGTTTGATGCTATTTGATACATATGTATATATATATATGTATGTATGTATGTATGTATGTGTATAGATGTATATCTGCAAATATGCATATATGATCATATATGTTTGGCCATCTACACAAGGGGGTCTTCCACTTGATACGGGGCCAAGGCGGCCAAGGTACTCGGACGGGGCTCGGAGTCGATTCTTCGGATTGCACCGACTGCGCTCGCAAGCGCTTTTGTTCATCAATGGCTTCTCTCAAATCCTGGTAGCGCAGCCCGACATGTGGACCAAAGACTGCCCGCTAAGGCTTCCTTAGGAAAAAAGCATCTGGGTTGTGTCTGAAAATCGGGCATGCCCATAAATGGCAACCAGTGTTTTTTCTTTGCGGATTGAGATGGATTGAGGGGTACCGCAGGTACCATACTTTCCGACAAACCGTCGTGTTCCCTTCAGGCATCTCAGTGTAACACCATAAATTAAAAGGGAGGCGACACACCATGTCAGGCCTGAAACGGCCCTGGGGGATAATATCCACTTCACGCATCTTCAGGCTACCCTTGAACAAAGCCTACTACAAGTACTACCCAGTCCCCATATTATTCAATAATATTTAATACACCCTTTCTGAAGGCACCTTCAACTGGAGTCATAACACCACGATTTCGTGGCATGGCAGTGGGGCCACACATCCCCTGCTGAAATCCGATTTTTATGTCCCAAAATGTCCCAAGTCATATGCCAATGGCTTTGTGATTGAAGCCATTCAGGGGGAACACCCAAAATCCAGTGGTTTCTTTTAATCATCATCTTCCGTATCAAAAACACAATTTCGGGGTGTACGAGTACCTCATAGACACAGCGAAACGTGATGAGATTACACATCACTTTGAAGCTGCATGTCCTTCTCGGCATTGCGGCGTTGCTTCAGCGCCTTGCGCAGATGCTCCACGTCCTGTGTTGCCATGGAGGTGAGCTGTCACTGCAACCCAGCAGCCTCATGCAGTATGTCGCTGAACTTAGGATCCAGCCTTAGTGGAATGCAACCCACATGCTTCATGCAGCCGTGCAAGCTAAAATGATCAAATATAGACAAACTAATTGACCACTTCAGGCTTCACTTGTCCCAAGCATTTCCCACAGCCATGTCCTTCTCCAGTCGCTGGTTGGCTTGCACTGCCTGCAGATGCTTGGTCTCTTCCTGCTGCAGTCGAGACACCTGGACACCGGGACACCGCGCGTTGGTGATTCCTGCCGGATCTGGGAACGTGTAGCTAAGCCCCAAATAGATCATATACTGTACCAGGTACCAGTTTCAAAAAAAAAACACGTTCCCAGGATGCCAAAAACGATCTTGATCTCTCAATTTCCAGGGGGCTGAACTTTCAAATCTATTTCTGCAAGGGCTGAACTTGTGAAACCCAAAAATCCGCCATTTGTCGATCATTTTCTGAACGGGAAGCCCCGTTCGGCACCTGGCGCCTCAGCTCCTCTTCGCTTTCCAGAGCTTCTTGCAACTTCATCCGTAAGGTCTGCCGATCCTCAGGATAGTGAGGGATGGGAGCAAGTCAGCCATTGGCGTGGTTTCCACGAAAAACTACAGGCAAGTAATTATAGTCATAGTAGTATAATATGTTTTTTCCTACGGATTATTTTTTTGGGGGGTCCTGCAAGTTTTCTGTTCATTTAAGTCAGGAATCAGTGGAAGGAATGAATTCTAATTCTGCCTATCCCTGAATGGCGATTCACTGAGGACTCAGTATGATCCTGGGGGTTCTTGAGTGGGAAATGCCAAAGCCTCCAATCATTTGCATCCGATTCTGAACCGACCTCTGGTCCCCAATACTTCCAAGATATGCGTATGGCTGCATGGCTTGAAAATGGAGTAAGAATGGGCCCGCAAGGTTGATCATATTCATTCAGTTTATTGATTTGTCTGATGTCTAAATGTAGCCAAATCAAGGCCAATCCTTCTGAGCCATGGTGAATCTAATGGCAATCCATCTGCAGTGTTGCCAGCAATAGGTGATTTAAACCATGCACATCCATGCACAGATTCAGGTTTACGGTTCGATTTAACACACTATACCCATAGTTTGTTGGTGACATCTCCATAAAACCCCAAGGCTTTGTGTTTAAATCCTCATCTTTCATTCTTGTTATGATTATCATGACTGGTTGGTGGTTTTAACCATCTTGAAAAATATTAGCCAATGGGATCCCATATATCATGCATCATGATCATGCATCCCTACTTGCCACGCCCAAACTTTCGGCCCCAACGAAGGGCCCTGCGCGTCCCAGGCACTTGGTCGGAGGAGGCCAGCTGCTCGATCTGGGAACGCTCCAAGCCTGGACCGGCGGCCGATTTTTTATTGGGATTTCATGGGGACTTTTGACGGATGTAACACTGGATGAACTTGGCATATCATAGGGATTTGCGGAGATATCATGGGGATACCCATATCCATTTGGGTTTATAAGAATAGATGAGGCATACCCTCCCCTATTCCTCTAATATCCTCTAGTATTGTAATCTTAATAGGGGAAACGAGGATGAACCGCTGAATTTAGGGGTAACATGGAAAACCCAATCTTTGGACAAACGCAGATTAGCAGATCAAGTTAGCTTCCGGAAAACTGACATGGGATTTTCAAGCCTCTATTTTTTAAGCATCGGGAAACTGTCGTACAGTATACCTGAGTCATTCCGAGTCATTTCAACTCTGAAGGGTGGTCATTTAAATCATTTGGGTCGCCTTTTTGGCTTGGACAACATGGGTTTCGCCATCTTCTAACTAGACAATCAAAAGTGTTGAACAAACCCAGGCACCCAGGCCCCTCTTAGGTCTGGGTCAGAGAGGAAACCAGAAAACCATTGCTACGGGATCAACCTTACTCGGCCCCAATATAACATACAAGACGCACATAAGGTCAACCCTGGATTAATAAACCCCTAGGTTGTTTAATTGGGGGGATGCCATTTAAGTATCAGATCATGACTATTTGGGGGTGTCACACATACTAAGCAACAACCATCGCTGGGATGATCACCCCAGGATTCCAACCATCACCAGGCCGCGACCTCGCCAGCGACCTTTCTCTCGTTCCAATTCCTGGCACGCCAGGAGTGGGGAACGTTGCATGAAAGAAAGCCACGAAACACACAGTGAAGAATGATGTCAAATATGTCAACAAACCAAAACTTCTGGATGTACAAAAAAAAACGATCCCCTTATTGCCCTGAACAACTGCTGGAACTGCCGCAGTCGAGGAAGTTGGTCAATTACAGCAGCCAGACATACTGGCACCCTCAGGGGCCAACCTGCCATTCCCATTTCCAGGGGCTACTGAAATGAGAATATCCATAGTCCACAAATATCCACAATGTCCTGGTGAAACGTCGTCCCGGCGACGTGACACCGTGACTTGTCATTCAGCTTTTTGCCATTCCCAAAAAAAATTGCCTTCCTCTCTTTGCCTTTTTTTTCTCTCCTCTCCCCCTTTGCTTTACTTAATTATATTCGTGAACCCCTGTTTCTCGGAATGCTCCCATTTGCGTTTTAAGCGAATCATCTAAAGTCTTGGCATGTTTTGGCCTTCCACCAGTCTAACTATTCTCTCTGATCATGTCCGGTAGCAGGTTAATCCCCAGTTTTGATAGGTAAATACCAATTTTGCTATGTGCATCTATGTGCCATGGTCCAGAGATGGTATATCAATCACAGTCATCAGTCATCCCATCGTTCTTCGGAAATCCTTGTAGTGGGTGAATGACGGGATGATCATCCACTTTATGGAAAAATAAAGAGTCTCCGGACCACGGCACATACCCTCCGGTCATTCGACATAGCTATGGAAAATCACAATGTTCTGTAGATAAACCAATGTATAATGTAAATAATCTATCAATGGGCCAATTTCCAGAGCCATGTTAAATTACTAGAATCTAGAAGATATGGGATCGCATTCCAGCTTTCATCCCGGCACCTGCACTAAGATCTTCAGACTGCGATTCTCCTCTGACAGTTGGTCGATCCTGGGCCAAGTGTCAGGCCAAATTTTCACCCAGATGCTGTTCTAGTGCCATGACATTTTAGCACGCGTAGGACATCAAAGGATCAAACATGATCAAGCACCAGAGGTACAAATGCCTGCTTCTATGTATATAATTATGCACATATTCACACATTCATCCTGATGATTTGTGGAATGTTGGTAGGAATGTATCTACACATTGGTCAATGTGCAGGCGTCACGCACCGAGGTGCCAATGTCCACAAACCATGACTGATGCGTGACAAACATTTTGGCCCAAGAAAGCACCTTGCAGTATCTTGCAGTTCTTGGAAGATGGTGAATGCAAATGTACCAAGCTGGCTCTGTAATTGCAACTATTTCGGGGGGCACTGTTTCCGGCGTCCCTAAGCACGCAAAAGACATCCATGACAAACAAATGCGCACACGCACACACACACACATATATATATATATATCTATCTGCAAAAAAATGTATATCATATGTGTAATGCATATCCGTGCGTGTGCATATTCAATACATCTATCTCTAAGTCTATGTCTACATGTATATCTGAAAAAATGCACGTGCACACACACACACACCCGCACACACACACACACGCTAAATCTGATGTTGATTTATATTTACAATTTATACATTAAAGTATACGGACATGATCGAAGCATATTTGGAACGTAAGGGAATTCTGGCAGCCAAATGTGTTTGAACAAGAATCTGCTGCTGCTTCTGACTCATCGCTTTGCCCTTCAGATTTGTCAGCGAATCCCTCAACCTGACACGAATCGAACGGATCGGTAGAACCATGTCAATGTCAGCTGGAAAATCACCATGTTTAACGGGTAAATCGCTTACTAAGGCGCACTTTTCCATGGCTATGTCAACTTACCGGAGGTATGTGATCCAATTTGCTATTGATTCTCCAGTTGATTCTAAATCTGAATGAAAAATCCCAACTTGTTCGTTGAAAGTGAAGACTTTATTCAAACGCAGGATTGCCGGAGGGCACTCGATCTGAAGAACAGGAAAACCGTGGGGAAAGTCAAGTCGGCCACCTCTATCATAAGCATTCATAAACTACCCCCATGTGCGGCCCTCCGATCTGGTCAATGATTTTCTGATTGTACGAGTACCATTGTTCAGTCGATTCCCAGTATGCCCCCAAAGCCCGGGACACAGGATGCAACCAAGCAACTCGGATTCTGCCTTTTCTCGTTCCTTCAAGGCTTTTCCTCGATCTATGGCCACGCTTCTAGCTGTCCAACCCCCTTTTTTCCATGCATACTAAACATCCCAAAACCATCCACAACTACTCAGTGGTGAAATTGGCTCCACTATAACTATAACGCATGTCTCATCCTTTTTCCCAATTGCAAACTATCAACTGCCGTGAAATGCAACATAACGTCTTGTCTCACGTGAACAGACAAAAAGGTGTGTTCATCATCCATAGTGCCCAACTCCCCCAAACAATCCAAACATCAATTTGACATTAACCTGGCTCATAGCCTCTGGCATAGTTTTCTTTTGTTGCCACCTCCAACACCAAGTTCAGTGCAGCAGTCGCAAATGTCGATTATCTTCTTCGGCTCGTTCCAGATTCTCGGTCAGCCGCCGGCAATCAGCCTCAAACTTCCTCAGACCGGCAGTGGAGTGTTCCCAGTGGTCGGTGCAATTTGTGGGTGGCAAGCCGTTTTATTTGAAGCAAAAAACATCTTCAAATGATGTTTTATGTGTTCCTCATTCAGTTCATCCATCTTAGTTTCTCAAGCCATCTCAAGCCTTTGGCCAACTGCCAAACTGCGGATTGCTGAAAACGGCGATGGTCGAATCTATGGTGCTCATGGGGCCGGAAATTTTGACTTGCGATCCGACAGGAAGTGGAAGGATAAGTGCCTCAAACCAAAAACATCGAGGGCTGGTCCAAAAAGGTCTCAACACGCCAAAATGGGTCGAATGGTGTCGAAAATTTGGGTAGCCTTTGGTAATCCTACAGCGATTCGGAGACTTTTCCCACCCTGGGTGGTTTTTCCCATAGCCGAGCGGCTGGAGCTCCTGGTATTTCTCCGCCTCCAACTTCTCACGGAGCTGCCTCTCCTGTTGAAATAGGCACCACCTTGGGGAAGTTCGTGGAATGGGATGGTCAAGCCAGCCAATGTTAATATTGAATAGACAAACATCTGATGTCAAAAAAGGGTTATCAATATTGCAGCTCTTTCATATGATAAACATTGGTATGGGTCAAGATTGAAATAGTTAACCAATGTCAAATGGAGGTTTCCTGAAATAGGGATACCCTCAAATCATCCATTTTAATAGGATTTGCCATGAAATAAACCATCCAGCTATGGGGGTACCACCATTTATTTCATCTAATCTAAACGCTCACCCCTGGGTCGCTCCCTACTGTGGTCCTTCAGCTCGCTACTCCTCCGCTCCGAGTCGAGGGCATCACGCTCCTTGCTTACGGCCGGGCCTGTCTCTCTAGAATTTTACTTGTGTGTTTATGTATGTATGTATGCATGCATGCATGCATGTATGTATGTGCATGTATGTGCATGTATGTGCATTTATGTATGTATGCATTTATGTATGCATGCATGTATGTATGTATGTATGTGCATGTATGTGCATTTATGTATGTATGCATTTATGTATGCATGCATGCATGTATGTATGTGCATGTATGTGCATTTATGTATGTATGCATTTATGTATGCATGCATGTATGTATGTATGTGCATGTATGTGCATTTATGTATGTATGCATTTATGTATGCATGCATGTATGTATGTATGTGCATGTATGTGCATTTATGTATGTATGCATTTATGTATGCATGCATGTATGTATGTATGTGCATGTATGTGCATTTATGTATGTATGCATTTATGTATGCATGCATGCATGTATGTATGTGCATGTATGTGCATTTATGTATGTATGCATTTATGTATGCATGCATGTATGTATGTGCATGTATGTGCATTTATGTATGTATGCATTTATGTATGCATGCATGTATGTATGTATGTGCATGTATGTGCATTTATGTATGTATGCATTTATGTATCTATGTATGTATGTATGTAGGTAGGTAGGTAGGTAGGTATGTAGGTATGTATGTATGTAGGTAGGTAGGTATGTAGGTATGTATGTATGTATGTAGGTAGGTAGGTAGGTATGTAGGTATGTATGTATGTAGGTAGGTAGGTATGTAGGTATGTAGGTAGGTAGGTAGGTAGGTATGTATGTATGTATATAAAGTCATCTCTCTATCGCCATATGTATATGAGTTTATATTACATATCTAGACATTTTTGTGTACGTGAGGTCGCTAAGTGGATGGTCCCAATGGATGGTCCCAACCCTGGATTGACCTGGTTTGATTAACCAGGGGGCCACCGGCAAAAAGTGATCTGCTTAAACCATGGTACCACCCAATTGAAAAGAGCCTGAGGCTTTTATCGTTGCGGGCTTGACATATCTTGACATGATGGAGATAGACATTGAATGGGACGGATCGTCTGGGGTTTGAACAAAAAATGCATGAATATCACCACCAAATGTATCTTCATCGGATTTATGTGAGGAAACATCTACAGGGAGACCTTGCGCTTCATCATCTCAACAACTTGGAAGGGTTCCGAGTTGAGGAGCAAGCTGTGATATATTGTGGATATTGTGGGATAGAATGGGCAAACATTCAGCGATTCCAGTTCTTTCTTGGCATTTTGTTGGTTCTCCCCTTTTTCCTCACTTGCAGTTTCATTCTTTAATCTCCAGTTTCTGAGTGTTATGACGAGGGCCCACGAATTTCCAGTCTGACCCCAAACATGCCTGGAAAGGATTCAATAGCTATGATTATATATATATATATATATGTACATGTATATATATATATATGTATATATATATATGTATATATATATGTATATGTATATATATATATGTATATATATATTTTTTTTTGCTCGGCCTTTTGAGACAATGCTCGTGGCGTACTTGCATAACTTTAGCCTGTCTAAGTTTAGACCGGCTGATAATCAGCCATCATAGTCTGGCCGTGCTCAACACAGGCTGACAGATCGGCTAATTCCCTGGCGAGTGGTGGAATGAGGTACTGTGCGGCCTCATCAACCTCAGCCAGGCATGTCGAAATACTCGACCAAAATGCCTCAGCCAGGCAGCGATTCATCCCGGGGGGGTATTCCTTTGCACGTGCCGTGCGAAAGCGTCCATCGCTACCCCGGCCAATGAGGGGAACCACAGGCTTGATGAGGTCCATCTGCTCGTTCGAAGCAAAAGTCGCTGGGATAGGAGCATGGGAATAAAGGAGGGTGGTGGGCTTTATCCCTTCTGCTCCGTGCTTCCACTGCTGGAACGTGTAGTGCCTGAACAATCGCCCACCAGAGCTCAGGAGCTTCAGGATTCCAGTCCTCCAAATTGAAGGCCGCTCTTCTTGAAGAGGCGGTGCAGGGTGCTCAAGTGTGGTTGCTCCTCCATGTAGAGCGACAGGAGCACACAAGAGAAGACCACGCAATAGGAGCTCATTCCCAATCGCGACCTGCTGTAACTCCTTGAAGCTGAGGTTAAGCAGGCCCCAGCAATCCTGATCTCCACGCAGAGGTCTAGGACCTGGTAGCGGTGTGCCATCCTCGTCATACTGGATCTCGAATCTAGCGCTGCTCCATGTCTCACAAGGCGGTCCAAGCAGAAAGGCTAGAACCTGTCCATTTCCTGAAATCAGCTCCAGGAACTTCCACAATGCGGCAGAGTGAATGTTCATCTTGTCGCTGATCGCCGTGTCAATGGAGATCACCACAACTGCTCCAGCAATGTTGCTAGGGCCTTGATTGATGAACTGCTGCATATAGTGGTGGAAATCGCCCTCTCTACGTCGCCCAGAATACAAATGGATGATGTAATATGGCTTCCCACATAGTGCGCGTTCAACTCGAGGATGTTGAAGAGCGAACCATGTACGACATTGAGCTTCGTCAGCATGAAGAGCGGCGAACTTGGATGGAATGGGATGTCGTCGCTGAATCGGCTGGGATGCTGATTTTATTGGTCGCGGAGCTCGTGGTTCTCCTGCTTCAAGCCTCTCCCATTGCTTCTGCAATGAAGTCATTCTTAACCTCAACTGCCAGGTGTGTAGATCCTCCAGCATGGTCATGTGCGACTCCTCAAGGAGCTCGTAAAGGTCAATGTCGAAGGTCGGGTGAATGTCCTGAAAGGCAGTCTCAATCCAGAAGATGAAGACCCGTGCGGCCTGAAATTCTGGAATGTGCATCTGTTGGAACAGGTTGAAGAACTTATTGTGAAAGTCGACAACGGTAGGCTCACTCGCATTCGCCCAATCGTGCAAACACTCTGCAAATTGCGCAAAACAGCGCTCAACCAGCTCTTTATGTTGAGTCGGGTCCCACCATGCAAAGTCTGGTTCTCCTTCTGCATAAAGAGCCTCAATGGCACGTCTGACACGAAGGCGTTCACGTTGGTGAGCTGTCGGTCGTAGCGGTCCGTGATGCCGACGGACTGCTGGTAATCTGCAAACTCCTTGAAGATGTGCAGGGAGTGTGATGGTAACTGGTGCATCAGGGAGCTTCACACCATGAAGTCGCTCCCAACACTTGTTGGCTCTGTAGCGCAGGTGTTGGGTCACGCGAAACGTCGTGTGAAAATCACGAAGGCAACCTCCACAGATCGTGGACTGTACCAAATAGCGTTCAGCGGCGATCTCTTGATGAACTCGATATTCATGTAGAGCTCTGCGTTGGTGGCTAGGGAAACAGGCTGGACAATGATGGCATTGAAAAGAGCTGATCTCACTGTTTTGATCATCAGCCTCAAATTCAGCCAGTTGAAGTCCCGCTGTGTGTAGTTTGTCAAGGATTGCTTTGTGGTAGTACTGGACTTCCCAGGCAATCTTTTCTTGTAAGAGGTGCTTGCGACTGGCTGTCTTGATCCATGCTTTCCAGGAAGGGCAAGATCGCAGGCTTTCCCAAACTGAAACCCAAGATGGGCGATCACTTGGCGTTTCAAAGGGTAGCGGCTTGAAACTGCTCAGCCACTGCAAATCGTCAGTGACCTCAGTCAGCCAACCAGAGCCTGTTTGAAGTTCACGCAGCAGGAGTGCTTTATGGTAAACGGACCCATATTGCGCAATGTGCTGCAAATAGGTGAGCTTGTGCTTGGCCCAAAAAATTCTGAAAGTGGTCAATTGCTTGGATCGCAGGAATTCCTCATCAGAGATGTGGGTATCAGTCCAGAAGCCAATGTCATAGATGCGTCTGTAGTAGGCCGTCAATGTTGCTTCTACCTTCTTGATCACGGCAAGAGGCACATCAGACCATACAGCACAGCCGTACAAAAGGCGAGACAAAATCAAACTCTGAAAAAGTTGAATCCTGGCAGTCACTGGCAAACGCTTGTTGAGAAAGATTGGCTTCTTCATTTCTTCAAATGCCTGTCTTGCTGCTCCCAGTCTAACAGCAATCTCTTTCGTGATGTCAACGTTCATCGTGAACTGCGCCCCAAGGTGTTTATAAGATGGCACCACACGTAAGGACAGCAGATGCGAGTCCGTAGGGATCACAATGACGGGTGGCACCGCCTTGTCAAAAATCTGGGAACGTAGGGCATCTGCACCTGGTCCTCGGAAGCAAAGAACGGCCTCCGTTTTGCCACGATCCAGGTTGAGGGTGAGTCCCCTGTCACGAAACAAGTTGTGCACTGCTTCCATGACTTGTTGCACTAATGGCACTAATTCATCCGGTGTCGTCGTAGTCAAAGGAATCGCAACATCATCCATCCAAGCAATAGGCGGAATGGTGATGCCCAGTGCAGCACTGCCGGCCAAGTAGATGTCGTTGTTCATGAGAAATGTTTGCAGATCTTGTAAAAGGTCTGCCATACCCAGATTGAAGGCAATGTCTGCCAAAGGACTGCCCGGTCTGGATCCCCTGCGCGTGCAGGTATAGGATTCAACTCCATCTGCATCATTGCCTCGTAGTTGAAACCATGTCTGATGGTGAATGTCGTGAAGAAATTGTTTCAGGCCATCTGGAATGTCATCACGACCGTTCACACATAATTCTTCCAGCTTCTGGGTCAAAGAAGGGATGTCAAAGTGCTGGTTGTCAAAGATTTCATGAAGTTCTGACTGCTTCAATCCACCAGACTTGAGAAAAACTAATTCACGTAGTAGGTGATGAAAAGCTGATCTCAAATCTAAAAACAACGTGCAGGTCGAAAGTTTGGCAGCCTTACTGACCCTGCCGTGTAGTGGCAGAACTTGGATACCTGTCAAAGTCTGCTGGGCGGGAAGTCCGCCTAATTGTCCTGTGGTTCTTCGTGATTTCAACACAGGAAGCAACTTCTGTCTTGTCCAAGCATGCGTGATCTTCGCAAATGAATCTGCTAATAAAATCCCTCTGTAGGCTGCAGCGTCATCACGCGCTCCTTTGTGTTTGTAGAGCGCGCAAAGATGCCCACCCTTGTGGCAAAGCGGCTCAACTCCAAGAAGGAAAGATTTGCAGATCATCGCATGTAGTTGAGGTGCAATGGCTGTGGCTCCAGATCTACACAAAGTAGAAGGTATGCCATCGGGACCTGATGCTTTGTGTGGCCGTTGAAGTAGGCAGTGATCCTCAATCTCAACCAGCGTTGGGAGCTCGGCCAGATCATATGTCTGTGATGCCGGTCTTTGCTGGATCTCCAAGTTGTTGCGGTCGACGCAAGAGGAGTAGAGGTTGGGCTGGGCAAGGGTGACTCCTGCTTCAAGTTGTTGAAAATGCTGAAGAAGGCTAGCGCCTAGGTCATACTGGATAGTCTGTTGCTTACCTCGATTCTTTGGCAACAGCGCTTTGAAGTGCTTCCAGATGCCTGTGAGGCCTTCCACTGTAAAAGTGTTAGCAGATTGATCTGCGAGGCTCTGGTAATAGTGAGTGTCTTCATGCTTGACCGCTTGGCAAACCTGTGAGGCTGCATGTTCATATTGCTGCATGGTCTGAGCAGTGGCACGATCATGTAGTTGAATCCAACCAGGTAGGTCATGATATAATGATCGCATCCAAACTGATTCGTGTTGTTTCAAACCATGATGCCACGCTTGGAAGCAAGCGTGTAGCATGGTGTGCAGCCTTGCTCTTTTGAGTTGTTTGAGTTGTTTGAAAAGGAACTTCTTGCGGTCAATGAGACTCCAGGTCGCATCTGTGATGTGACTCTTTCTCCGCCATGTCTTGCGGTGTCGGGTGACCTGCTGCAACGCTGCTGTCGTTTGAGATGCCAGTTGCATGGCTGTTTGATGGGGATCAACAGACCATGGAGTAGGTAGTACCTGTGAATGCAGCATGTGTAGAGTCGCTTCTTGCTGCAGTTGGCGATGAAGGAGCTGTGAGTCCCATCGTGGTTGTCGAATCCTTCGTTGTGTTGGTTGAGCACAAGTGTCAATCGCACACTGACAAAGAACAGCAAAGTGATCAGTTCTGTGGATGCTCAAGTCAATGTCATCAGCGATCCACGACTTCACCTGTTGATACTGTAGTTCAAGTGGGATTGCGACATAATCAATGCGTGCTTGATGGCAGCCATCAGGCGAGCGGTATGTGGAATGTTCAATTCCACAATGCGAACTTGCAAATGTTGCAGGAGCATAAGGGCCATGTTGTAGAAGCCATTGATGAAATAGCTCGCCTGCTTGGTTCTCTTGTGATGGGTAGAGCGGGCCAATCGCAGAGGTTGGACAGTCACCAACATGTGCGTTGGCATCACCACAATATATGAGTGGCCATCCTGATGCTTTGCGTTGAAGATGTTCAGAAATGGTTCGCCAATAAGCTTCTGCTTCTTGCCGAGGACGAGCTGAGTGAGGAGCTCTTCCAGTGACGATGACACACTTCCAACAGTCAGTGTTGATCTTGACAATGAGAAAGGTCGAACTGGATGCAATGATGCGGATTTGATCTTTGCCAATGCAAGGGCCGGATTCATGGAGTGGCTGTTGCTTGGAGATCCAAAGTTGAACACCATCATTCCCATGTAAGTCAGCAGGATGTCCAATGACATGAAACAGCTCATTGTTGATGCCAACAAGATGTTTGTGGCGCGTCTCTTGAATGCCTACAAATGTGCACTTTGCGTCATGAAATTGCTGCATCAGGACCTGTTGCCTGGAGATGCTCGTTCCAGTTTGTTCAAGGCCTGACTGACGCAAGGTGAGCACGTTGGCTGTGGCAATCGTCAGTTCAATTGTGACTCTTGGAGAAGGTGCAACAGGGTCTGTTGTCTGCAGAGTGCAATTCAAAGGTGGTACATTGGCCTGCGGAATGGCTATGATGTCACATTCCAAGAAGCCATCGACAATGCGCGGTGCATAAGGGCTGGCAGCGTTCATCTGTTCAAGATACCAAAGCCATTGAAGTGCTCGAAGCTGTAGTGGATCTCGCAACCAGGCAAGCCAAACCTCACTATCCTCATGAGTGGAATGGAAGGAGGAGGCATGCCGCGCTACTGCATCAGCAAGTTCATTCCATGGGTTACCTGCGTGTGCCTTGACGTGTAGCCAGTGTAACCTCGAGAAGCCGTGGCGTCCTTGTAGAACATGTGCCATACTTCTCATCAAGATGCGGTGGCTTTTGTGCGCCTTTGTGCGGTAGTAGCCGCCAGCAAGGTAACCAGCATTCACTGAATCAAAATGGAAGTGGAAATGCACATCCCATTGGGCAAATGCTCGCCAGTGATAATTGCTCAGGTGAACTGCCCAAATCAAAGCCCAAATGACTGCTCCGTTTTCGCCAACTCCAGCGTGTCCATGTGGCTGGACAACTTTACAAAGGGCCCCACCAAATGCAAAACCTGTAGGATACTCAACTAGCAAAACGATGCCAGCTCCAACAGCGCCATGCTGAGTTTTTGATCCATCTGTGTAGAAATGAAACGCAATGGGGGGTAAATCTGTGACCTCATGGAGAGCACAAAGGGCTTCCTGTGTCACTGTTGGAATCTCGAGGTTCTCAGGCCATTCTTGATGAAAGGCACATTCAGAGGCATTGAGCTCATTCATCATCGTCTGAACTGCCTCAAAGTTGACAACCACTTTGGATGGTGGTGGTATCAATCGGTCGAGGTGTATGACCTGTTTCGATGTAGAGGGAGAAGGTCGCTGGGTATGAGCCACCTGCCCAGCTGTTTGGCACCTTCTCATTTGCGGACTGGCCTGGATCTGAATGAAGCTGACAGAGGCTTCATCTTCATCGTCAGACCAGGCGCTGCGCTCAAATTGGGGCTGGGAATTCTGCCTGTCAATGATATGCTGCATTTCTTGGATAATGATGACAAAGGCAATGCCATGTCGATTGCGAAGTGCCAAATTTTCCCTCAGCTCAAGATCACCATGCCAGACCGTGCATTGACGTGGTGATAATTCGGGATAACATTGATCGCTAAGGCTAGCAAAACCAATGACTTGCGGTTTGGCCATTTGATGTGGTGCAAACCGTGCAAAATGGCGCATCGGTTGTAAAACTTGATGAGTGGCAACCACCGTAAACAAATTGGCCACACCATCAGCTGGAGCACGTTGTAGGACAATAACATGCACACGTTGATGTTGTTGCAGGCTGGTTACAGGTGGGGACGGCCTCACAAGATACAAGCTGATTGGCAAGGTTGGGTCAAGCAGGTCAAGCCAAGTCGTTGCAATCAAGCGCATCCAGGATGAAAAGTCTTGTCCAAGAAGTACAGAACGAGGAACATCGCAGTTCAGGTATGTCGGCATGTCCAAAAACCAGGTTGTGATTTCCATGGTCGGATCTTGCTGAGCATCAGCAGCATCGAGCTGTGTCATGGAAGCTAGCCAATGCATGAAGAGCTCCTGGATGGCAGCTGGTTCAGCTTGCAGTCCTTGTGCAGGTGCAGTCCAATGATTGGCCTCTTCATTTCTCAAATCAGTTCTGTGTGGTAAATCTTCAATGGCATGATCAAGAGGTTCGATCTCATCGCTACTGTCACAAATCTTCATGTTGGTGAGATCCGGCAAGACATCAAGGGGTGGCAGTTTGACTGCATGCACCTGCAGGAAAAGTGCAAAGTCCCCATCAGCTTGGTCAGCAAAGCTGCGGTATCTCGGTACATGAGAATAACCAATAGGTTCGTCATGCCATCCCAGTCTGAAGAGAGTGTGCCTCATCAGGATCTCTTCCATTGTCATGCCTTGGTGATAAGCACTTGCTAAAAGGCGGGTGGCAATATGGTCAACTTGAGGGCTGCCAGGTGGGATCGCAATGCGAACGTAGTCACCGTCTTCCAGCTGTATCCTTGATGTGCCAAGTGGAATGAGAACATTGTTCACCCATACCAAACAGCGATTACATGCTCTTTGGCAAGCAGGGTGAAGACCAAGTCCTCTAAGCAATTGTTCTCGGCTGATCGCTGATGGCAAAAGACGAGCTTTTCGCACAACTTCAGGGGATTCCAAGGGCAATGCGGAATGGAATTCAACATCAAGGAGAGTGAACTTGTTCAAAGACCCGACAGGTAGGTCACCTCTGCGATGGGCGATCACAGCCGCAGTGTTTGCCCTTGCAATATCTTGCGGTGGTGTCTCAACCCAATGCATGAAATGTAAATCATCAGAACGTAGGTGAAGAACTTGGGAAGCTCGTTGATGCATTCCATAGTAATCATACCAATCTAACCAGACAGCAGTGGGTCCTCCTTCAATTGTAAACAAAAGGGTCGAATACCACCGTTCTGGGATTGATGAAGACAATGATGCCATGGGAGAATCAGCCTCTGAAGAAGTAGAGAATAAGTCATCAGGATCATTGGGATCCCTGACAGCTTGTCTGTTGTCAATGATGGCATCCAGTGGTCCATCTTGTGGCACACCAACAGGATCCCGCTGATGCGTGGCAATGTGGGCAGCGAGCAGGGATGTGTCATCGTCATCTTCTGCGGCACTGCCAACGGATGCATGAGCACTCCAAGGAGAAGGCTGCTGTGCAGGGTGGAAAACACTAGAACCATGGTGTGGAACTCCAAGTTGTAGTGGCCACCAAACAAAACTGTCATCAATTTCAGCTCCCACAAAGAAATCGATGGTCGGTGCAAAGTGCACCTTTTTGCGTAGTTGGGATTTGATCCCCTCCGTCAAGCAGCGTGAAGTATGTTGTCCCCCAGTCCCAACTTCGTAGGATAAATCAACTGCTTCGATGCTCGCTTGCCAGGGAGAAACAAAGTAGTCCTCGTTCATGATGCTGTGATTCCAGATTTGTACATTCATATCTTGGAAGCACAGGGTTTCCAAATGCCCCAGGCAGGTCTCCTGTTGGTCTACCTGCCCGGCCCGCCGAAAGGCGACATGGCACGTGCTCCAGGCACAGAGGAATCGTTGGAATCTCTTCTGGCCTTTTTGTTGGCGTTCGTGTCGTCTGCATTTTCTTCGGCAGGACGAACTCTGATCTTGTCCAAGCTTTCGACAACAGAAGAAATGCTCTGTTGGATCATCTCTGCCGTGTCGACTTTGGTGGTGGATTCCTCCTCCATCTCCCCTTCTGAGACAACTTCCACGGCATCCAGGTCTACATCTTGTTTGGAGTGCAGCTCCTTCATGGCGTCCAAGTGGCGTTTTGCGTCCATCAGGGAGTCCCGGGCTGCATTCAATTCCGTCTCCAAGGCAGCATCCTTCTTGGTAAAATCTTCCGCAAAGGATTTCCATCGTCGGATAGATTCTTCCACATAACCTGTCCATGCCATGTGAAGCTTCTGACGTGCATCCTTTGCTGCTTTGAGTTTGGCTCTGGCGGTATCCACCTTCTTCACCGCTTGATGCATGCTCTTGGATGTGACCTTGGTGGTGGATTCTGCAATGATCTTTTGAATCTCCTGGGGCGACAGTGGCTGATCGTTGTTCTGAAGCTTGCTGACCAAAGTTTGTAACTGGGCCGCTGCTTGAGGATCTGAACCACTGGATGATGCTGTAGATGGTATTGAGGGCGCCATTGGGTTTTGTTTGGAGCTCCAAGGAGGATCGAAGTCTGGTATAAGAGGTTCGCCCTTGCCCTTCTTGCCTCCCTTGCCCCGGTTTGCTCTCGGGGTTGGGGCTCTTCTGGATCTCCCACTTCTCGGCGACTTGGATGGTTGCCTTGGCTCCTTCCATGTTGGCTCGCTCCAAGTGGTGTAGTTCCATGTCTCCTGCGATTTGACCCCATGGACGTAGGTTTTGTCTTCGCAATGGTGCCACATTTTGTCGCATTTTCCACATCTCAGTGCATTCATCTTGTTCAGGCGAACACAAAAGCGGCAACGCCATGGCACTTTCGTCGCTTCCGCCATCTTGGAGTGGATCAGGGCGGTAAAACCTGGATCGTGAGAATGATGCGAACGCAGGGTCTCGATGATATGGCGTAGATGAGGTCGACTCAGTTGGCGGTGTCCCTTGCGAAACAGGTGCCACCAATGACGGGCAGAAGCCCTCAACCTCCTTGACCGCCTCCTCTGCGTCGGAGTAATCTCGTCCAAATAATGTGAAAAAGAAGATCAAGACAACAACGTTGAAGAAGTTCCGAAAGAACATGAAAATATCAGGAACACCCAATTGAAGATTGTCGGGACAAAGTCAACCGCAATACCAAGAAGAGTGTCAGGACAGATTCAAGGACAAAGAGGAACCAAAAGGGGGAGCACAATCAGCGTGAAATATGCAAGCCCGAGCTGGTTCAGGATGTCCCAAACGTTGAAGTTGATGTCGCCAGCTGCTGTAGGCCGAATAAACGACAGCTAGAGCAGAGGGTTGAAGGCAAAGAAGTGAAGCGATGGAGATGCGGGCCTGCACTGTGCCCGCAGAGCTCAAGACAGCGCCACCAATTGCCCGCGGTCGGCACAGATTGCGTCGGCAACCGCTAAGGTTCACGGCGAGGGGGCTGTAAGCCGAAACCTTATATATATATATATGTATATATATGTATATGTATATGTATATATATATATATGTATATGTATATATATATATATATATGTATATGTATGTATAGACGCGAAAAACTTCAGATAAATGCAAAAACTGAGGACAAAGGTTTCCAACCTATGATAAGAGGCACACGAAGTTTCCAAATAGGCAAGACTAAATCGATAAGAGTAAGGCACACATAGTTGTCCCACAAGTTGTATCCTTGCTGAGTAAGGTGCTTACATGATGCCTGAAATTCAATAGAATGCGGTGCTGAACTGGATTATATTCACTTTTAAACTAGAATATCACATAGTGGCTTATTTACTAGCTGTTACCTAGCTACAGCCCAACTCCAGTTGCAAAATATTGCAAAGTCCCAGGCTCCGCTTGCAGCCTCAAGGACTCCTGCTGTTCCATTTCTAACCTCAACAACTGGGGCCAATCCCTCAAGGGAAATTGCTCATAGCTCCAAAAAGGGCTTTCAGTCCTTCTTTTGAGGGTGACACCAGGGAAATTTCGCATACATGTATACATACATTACATTACACTACACTACATTACATTACATTACACTACACTTACATTACATTACATTACACTACATTACATTACATACATTACATTACATGTATTGCATTGCATCAAATCACATCACATCACATTACATCACATGACATTACATCACATTACATTACACTACATTACATTACACTACATTACACTACACTACATAACATAACATAATATAACATGACATAACCTACATTACATACATACATACATACATTACCTTACCTTACCTTACCTTACATTACATCACATCACATCACATTACATTACAAACATACACATACATATATATATTGTGTATACATATATATATATTATCAATTATCATATGTTATTATTATCATCATTATTATCATTGTTATTGTTATTATGATTATTATTATTACACTTACACTGTATGCATATATAATTAATTGTATATATGGGCTTTGACTTTTCCATCTGGGAGTGGGGTTTCCATGGCTCCAGGGATCTTCGCTCTTCGTCCTAGGTGCCGGTGGCTCTTCTCCAAGTCGCTTTGCTCTAGGAGGCTCAAGGCCTGGTGAAATAATTGTTTCATAGAATCCAATGGCGAATTTGGAGATTCGCATAGCATCTTACGACCATTTCTATATCAGAACAGCAAATCAAACATGGGCACTGTCAAATCCACAAAATGACTTTATGTGAACAAATCTGTGAAGAATTTCGCATGTGTATCTGCAACACATGAGCAATGCCATTTCCTGAAACAGGTGACAAAAACAGATTTGGCGTTCGAAATCTGAAAAAAAAACAGCCACAATCTCCAACATGTTTCCCAAATGCGGTCCGAAGATTGCCACAATTTAGGAGCAGTGAGCCAACATAGCCAGGCCGGAAAAAAATAATCATCCGGCCTCTTTCAAACGAAGCACCTCTTTCGAGTCGTTCCTGCGGAGAACTTCCCCAGGGATCGGTATCCATCATAACTCCTCATGGGTCATGGATGGTTATGGGGGTTGGGTATGCATAGATTCCCTTGGCAAAAGGAAACTCCTTGGCCTCAGCGGATCTACGATCCCAGCTCATCCCTCAAACAACCTGCTGGAAATGGAATGAACAAACATTAAAAGATTAAACTGAACATTTCAAGAGCCTTTGAATTGGTTTATATATGTTTATATCGTTTCCGTTTCCATTCCCACGTCACATCACACACGGGAAAAAACATCAACTTCCGCTGCACGCAGAACGCGCCTCTGATGGCGAAATCTCTCCACTTCGGCCCGCAGCCTTGAGATCTCCTGGCCATGAAGCTGCGACCCTGGTGGCAATGAACATGGCAACTGCTGAACATTGCTTCCATTTTCGAGGGCTACTGTGATTAATGATTATTGTAATTGACCGACAACATCCTACGAGTACACTTCCAAATTATGCTTTCGATTGCTTTCGTATGGTATTGGTACACCGCAAATTTGACATGGACACATTTCTTTTTGAGGTCTGCCCGCTGGTTCTCTGGACTCGGGTGCTAGAATTTTGGGTTCCATGTTGAATTTGGCGAAACCAAGTGACAACAATAGTTTTTTTGGCATAGAAATGGATCAAAATGCTGGTGAGGTTTACCATGGCTTACCACTTGACCATCTTGAACCAATGAAACTCTAACAAACTCTTGCGAACTTGGTCAAACACCCAGCTGGCCATGAGTTTGCCAAAGGCTGGATGCCTCTCTCCATCGTTTTCAGCTCCCTGCATCTTTCAAAGTTCTTTTTCCAGCTTCACTTTTGCATTGTTTGCTCAAGGAATGATTTCAAGGAGCTTGAGCAGTGAACCCCTCAATTTCAGTGGGGATGTCCTCCTGAGCCCGTCCCAGTGGCGAGAAATTGCACTTGATTATCCCAGCGACGAAAAACCCTGAAGTCTGGAACCTAAATGACACACCCTCCTGTCCTTCTGCGCCTGATCCTCTTGTCGCGACTTCTCTTCCAAACTTCTCCGGCACATATCTAAGTCATCCTGTAGCCGCCGATCACAACCCCTCTAGTTCCCAATAGACGTGCAAAATATACTGCGATGCCACGATTTAGCAACAGTATGCAACAGTTCATTGACGATCTGCAGGATGAATTCCATAAGACCCATACGCTTGTTCCATCTTCCTTAATATTGTTTGGGGACCCAGGGTGATACAGCGGAAATTCAAAGGGCACGAGTTTGATCAGCATCCTATATCCGGGGAAACTGGACTGGAAATCACCTGTGAATCTTGGGGAAGTCATGGTGCAATGGGGACGAAGCCTCATCCGCAACATCGAAACGCACGACTACGAAGCATTCGCTGTATCTCCCCATCTGGGCAGGGTCATCAAATTCCTAGTGTTCAACGGCCACCAACTCCCTTATTTTACATTACGCTGCGCTTTGAAGGGTTCTTGGGTCATATGTCAGTGCATAACTGACAGGAAACATGGCCGACAGGAACGCCAGACGCCCACACTGATGGCTCCAACTCAAGAGAGAGGTACCACCTAGCCAATCAGCAGAGGCAAAAGAGCGAACCTGACGGCACAGTGAAACCTGATCAAGCTAGCAAGCCTCCTTGGGTGCACCCCCCCGACCAGAAACAGCAAGTGCACCCAGACACCGGTGTCCCCCAGGGTGGCAGGCAGGGGAAGCGGAGGCAGCTTAAAGCCCAAGTGCTGCGGGAGTTTACAGGACATTTCACACTATCATTACGGAGGCCCATGAGTTAGTGTTCAACGGCCACCAACTCCCTTATTTTACATTACGCTGCGCTTTGAAGGGTTCTTGGGTCATATGTCAGTGCATAACTGACAGGAAACATGGCCGACAGGAACGCCAGACGCCCACACTGATGGCTCCAACTCAAGAGAGAGGTACCACCTAGCCAATCAGCAGAGGCAAAAGAGCGAACCTGACGGCACAGTGAAACCTGATCAAGCTAGCAAGCCTCCTTGGGTGCACCCCCCCGACCAGAAACAGCAAGTGCACCCAGACACCGGTGTCCACCCCACCCAACCTTCTGCAAAGCAGCTTTGAAGGTAGCCAGGCTGGCTGGCACTTGGGCAAGGATGGAGTGAGGAAGCCAGAGGGAGAGTTTTGCCGAAGACAAAAGGGGGGGGGGACCAGACACCTTTGAACCTTGGTCAGAGGTCAAATGGAAAGCGTGGTCTGGCCTTTCTGGCAAGTTGCACCCAGCGGGCATGTGTAGCCGCTGGTGTGTTGATTTCTGTCAACTGCGCCAAAGCGTCAGTTATGTAAATTCTGGCGGTTTTCTGACAAGACCACCGACCAATGAGACAGGTTTGCCCTAAGTTGCTAGTAGATCTAAAAAAGGAAGTGGCTCCACCCCTGCGAACTGAATACCATTGGCAACCGTCAGGGAAAGCCAGCTCAGCTAACAAAGTTTTGAGGCGAGACCTCATAACGCCGGGGGAACAAGAGCGCAACAAATCGCCCGGGCGGCGGCGTTTGAGGTAGTTACGAAGTGCTGCTACCAACCAAGGGTCTTCAACCACCAGAGACTCTTGAGCCCCCTGGCGTTGGCCACTCTTGGTCAGGGGCAACGACCAGACCACCCGCTGATTAGTTCTTCCAAAAGCAAAATTACTTGTTGTGGCCGCAAACAATTCCCCCGTACGAGCAAACCTGTCATATCCCAACAGCAACAAAATTGCAACGTCCTGCCAACCATATTCAAAGGCACGTTGAGCAAGGGCATAAACCATAATGGGGGTGAAAGGGATTGCCCTAGCGGGGAGTTCTGCTCTGGTCCAGCTGCCATGCAATCTCCAACCGCCCACCAAGTGTCGCTTGACGGACGGGATAAAATGGCCCAACCCACTGAGGCAATCTGAAGCAAAGGATTTTGGCTCCCCATTATGCCACAAGTATTCAATGAATTCACAAACCTTGACATCCAAAAGAGAAAAGGTTGAGGGGTAGCGATAGTCATGCAATCGAAGAAAATCAAGGAATCGTGAAACAGCCTGGAAATATCTGGTGTGGGTAGAGGGTGCTACCACTAGACTCTGCAACGACCCCAACGCGCGCCTGTCTGTTTTCCGCTGTGCGACAGAGCGTCGGCCTAAGACGAGTCTCCTAGGCATCTCGACGGCGGGATGCCCAGCGCGAAGGTCCATCCGCTGGGTTCCACTTTGACTTCACCCAGCCATAGCAGACGATCAGCCCCGAGGCCAGCGTCACAGCAGCCACACGTCGAAGAGGCAATTGCAGAGCTTTGGCCGAGGATCGGCCTTTGGTGAGCACACTCAAAGAGACCTGGTTGTCAACCAGGACGACCAGCCGACTCTCATGCCCTTTGGAGTTGCGGCTGAGCTTCCGCAACAGATCCAACACGGCCACCATCTCCAGGACATTGATATGCTGATCTTTGTTTTTTCCAGGCGTAACTCATGAGCACCTTCCACGTCCAGCTTGACGGGTCGATGCTGTGGCGGGTCAGCTCTCCGACTGAGTAAGGCTGACCAAAGTCGATCCGGATGTCGGTCCCCCGACTGCTCCCATTGCGGGTGAGCAGGTAGACCAACAGCTCTTCGTCCGTCAGCCGTCGCTCCGGATCGATGTACTGCCGAGGAGGCAAGCCGGCGAGTGACGAGACCTCCTGACGGAGGCTCCCCACCCCCACTGCATCCACAGCAGATGATCCAAAGCGGAGCTTCCAAGGCTTGTCTTCCTTGGCCACTCGCTCCTCATTGCGATGCCACACTTGCCAGAGGAGCATGGTGAGATCGTGTCGTTGTGCCTCCTCTTCGTTGGTGACCAGACATGCTAGGAGCCGTGCCACTGCGATTGCAGAGAATGAATTCCCAATGAGTTGCCCTTTGGCATCATTGCTAAGCTTGCTTTTGAGTTCCAGATGCGTTGATGGGAACCCCATGAGGCGTAACTGCTCTGCCGGCAGCAACTTCCTGGGCCCATTTTTGTCCAGGACCATGTTCTTTGCCTCATACCAATACGGCTGCAGGCGGTAGTTGTCACCACGCCAGCGTGCCAGTGCTTTCTGGCTCGCACTGTCCAACCCCGCTGGTGAACTTGGGGGTTCTTTGCGAGGGTGAGGCCGAGTCAATGTGGGAAAGGCCTCATCCTCAGCTTCCCACTTTCGGCTGCCTTCATTGAGAAACCAGGCCAACGGCGGCCGCTCAGTATCGATGTGTATCGCAGGCAGGTAGTAATCTTCCGTTCGCATCTTTTCATTCTGAATGCACGTCCCTTCCAGCCCGGGGACAAATGGCAGGTTCTTCAGCCAATAGATTCTTGGGCGGCGAACTCGGCCTACCATGGCCGCTTCCAAGAACACTCCGCCAAACCCAATCTTCGAAGTTTGGACCTTGTAGTCCCTTGCATCCATGACCACATTCTCATACATCTCCATGATTTCCCATTCGGGCAAGCCAACTTCCTTCGAAGCTTGCCGAAGATAATCTCGGACCTCAAGCATGCGGTCAAGGAGCTGACTGGTTGTGGCTTCGGGCCCTTGCCGATGCACATTCAACTGGCTGTGATTTACACAGGGCCATCCTCCTCCCAGCAGAACTTTCTTGACACGAGGGTATCGTCGCCTCCACTCTTTCACCTCCTCCAGCGTGATATCTTCAATTTTTGCATACCACACAACATGCCGAGTCTGTTGTCTCACGACCTTGGCACAGACTGTATTGCTGTCGATAGCAATCACTCCCATTGGGACGACCCCCGGCAGGTCCAGTGCCTGCTTAAGGCCTCCCATGCCAGCAAAGCATTCCACCACCAGGATTGGGTCAGCCGCTTGTCCTTCGGTTCCTCCACTCTCATGAGCCAACGTGTGAACTCTGGAATGCCCCCATTTGGTGAGGCCTGTTGTCACACACGCACCTCCTCCATCCTCAGATGCATCCGTTGCATAGACTTGTCCATTGACCCTGGCCCTTTGATTCATCCAATGCATGGGCAACCCCATGCTCAACAGCCAGAGCTCGTCCTTGGCCATGTTGCTCAGCACCTTGCCATCATGCTGATTCATCTCCACGTAGAGCCTGTCGAAGAGTGCCGCTAAAGCGCGTTGGTATTGGACGGAGTGCATGTTCTTGGAGATCACGGATTGCAGGTTCACACTGTAGCAAGGCACCTTGTCTTCTCCCAAAATCTTGATGTTGGCTCCCAAGAGGGCCCTTCGAAATTTCAGAGAGCTGCCTATCCAGCCTTTCTCGCCGTTCACTTCAGCGCCCAACGAACTCCAGGTTTTGGTACCTTCGGCCGCTTTTCGTGGATCACGGCCGATGCCCAGCTGCGTCATTTCCTCGCGCAGAGCCAACTGCTCGTCCGATGGCCTTCCCTCATAGATCCCCACCTTCGTTTGCCACACAACCTTGAACTGGTCAAAGTTGTCGACGTAGAAGGAGAAGAAATCCCGGGGAGTGGTGAGCGGACACAGTGGGGATGGCTCACCCATTCGTACCATCCGGCCCGGGTCGAGCTGTGCCTTTCTTGCCAAGGATTCGAAACCATCTTGGATGAAATCCACCACGTTGTTCCATCCCATCGGTGCACTGCGGACTCTGGGAAATGCAGCTTCAGTGATGCCATCGTTGAACGCAGCTCCACTCGCTTTCCGATTGAGGACGAAATACCCCCGCCATGCATAACCTAGGCGGTAGATGTGAAAGCAGTGCTTCTGATCCTCGGCACAGCATAAGAGCACCTCATCATCATGTAGGTACAGGGCACCCCAGGACGGCCCATAGCCCATTTTCTGCGATGGCTTCGTCGGTACTCTCCTCTGGAAGCCGTTGGAGGGGATAAGGTTGATAATCAACCGCAGGCTTCGCAACCAGGTCTGATCCTCTTTGAGAATCCAGCCTTTGTGGACCCCGAAGGCCCCGTTGCGGACAGCTACTCCCTTGTACCTCAAGGTCTCCTCCGGCTTTTCTCTCTCAAGCATGCGGGCCTCGACCAGGTACTCCACGATTCGGTCCCACTCTTGTTGTGAGCTCACCTGTACCGAAGCCGAAGTCCGTGGGTGAACCACTTCGTCATCCGGTATCCTGACCAAACCCGGGTCCAACACATATGGCTTCATCTCCTCACTCACAACTTCTGCAAGCTCGATCCGTCCGGCTTGATCTTTTCCAGGGGTGGTCGGCCGAATCGCCTCCAAAGTTAAAGGGTAGGATTTGCTCACCCGGCCCCCCGTGTAGATGTGGTCTAAATCCTCAGCCAACTGATCCCAACTTGCAACTACAAGTTTGTCATCCTCAGACTGAACCCATGCAGCAGCCATCTCTCGCTGCCTCTTCACCACTTCTTGCTGGGCATCTGTCCAGTCCTTTGGGTATGCCATGGTCTCGGTCAGGACACGGCTGGTTCCTCCCCCACAGTACAGAGCATTCATCAACGCGATTTGCAGCCACAACCATGCTTCTCTCCCCAGGTCCTTAGCCTTCTCCTCGTAGCTTACCAGCTCCTCATCTGTCAGTGGGCCTGGAGCAAAGGCGCTTTCGGAGAGGGCGGCAATCAGCTCACTTTCCTCTCTTCCTCCCCCTGGAAGTGCCATAGGAAGTAACTCCGCGCCCGCTGACTTCTGAAAAGTCTCCAGCACATGAAACTCCGCACGAAGTTCCCAAGGTGGCCAGGGCGATGCAAGGTCAAAGTCTTCAAGATCACCCCAGCCAGGTTCAGAGTCAGCGGCTTTGAGAAAAGCTTCTTCAATCCCAACCTCCATTCACTAAGGCTTGGCGATCCTCCTGCTGGCAAATCCAGGGTGTCGATAAGCTCCTTGGCCCACTCCTCATTACCCAACGTCACATACAGCCGCCTTCCACTCAGCATATGCTTCACCATATCCTTGTTGAGTTTCTCAAGGCGCTCGGCAGTGAATAGGGAGTCCGGTTGGTCCTTTCTGCCTTTGCCAACGATTACACCGCTAACACCGCTGAAGTTGTTAGGCAACACCCTGATCTCCACCCCTTGGTGCGTGCCCCAGAGCCGCCCTTCAACCTCCCCGGAAACAGAGTTCAGAGGAGTTGATGGAAGCCCCAGGACCTGCATGAGGTGACTATCATACTCCGGGGGTGCCTCCTGTTCAAGCACGCTCCAAACCTTGATGACCTCCTGTACTGCCACATCACAGGGCAGTTCACCGGCCTGAACCAGCGACTTTAGGAATGCCTTTTCGATCTTGGTCATCGAACTTGTCCCGAGGAAATGCCCCCTCAGGTTCTGATGAAGGGCCTTCAGGTCGTCATGCTCGGCCATCGCTTCAACAGTCCGTTGCGCCAGCTCTTCAAGTTCTTGATACTCCTCCATTCGCTTGACCTGGCTCAGGAGACTTTCAAGTTTCAAATCTCCGCTTACCATCTCTTGCCTTTCTTCCCTTTGCCTTTTCCTTTGCGAACCCTTGGTCCGTTGTGCGGTGGAGCATCTCCTTTTTCGCCTTCTGTCTTCATTTCGTCGTTTGACGGGGCTCCGGCTCCTGTCGCTGGCTCCCATGCCCTTCGTCGACGGGTCCATTGATCCTGGGTCATACGGCTCTCCAATTTCGCCTCTTGCTGCGCCGCTTTCAACTCCTGCCTGAACCAGGCCCGTTGTTCGCCCTCCGCCGGGACAAGTTCCAGCAGGGACGCTTGGGTCCAGTTGCCTTGGGCCACAAAGACCTCGATGGACTTCATCCGCTGGACTGCCACGTCCATCGCCCTCAGTGTGTCGTTGGACGCCATGTAGTCCACCATCATTGCAAGAGTCCGCAGCTCTCTCAAATTTCGCAGTCCTATCTGTGTCTCGGGTGACTTCACCAGGTAAATCTGGGTCAAGTACGCCCGGGCCACTGCTGGAAGGTCCGAGGCTGAATCGGCCGTTCCCCCGCCTACGCTCCTGCTCAGCAGTTCGCTGAAGCGCTTCAGGGTGAGATTTGCCAGTACACCTGGCCTCTCCTGGTGCAAGCGTTGAAGCTTGTCCACCCCCTGCGGCAGGGCGGCCAGTCGAAAAACTGACTCTTCCGTGCTTGAACCTCCCGACGAGGAGCTCGAGGTAGAACTTCCCTGGCTCTCCTCTTTCTCCTTCCTACGGCTCCTCTGCTTCCTTTTCTTTTTCTTTTTCTCTCCCTTACTCTTTTGGGGCAGCTTGAGGGCTGACAACTCCGGGGCAGCAGCCTTACGGCCTTGAAGGACAGCCTCAAGCCCTTCACGTCGCTCTCCGCTCTCTTTTTTCTTTGGCTTTTCTGCATGCTTCCGTTTACGGGGCTCGTCACGAGGCGCCTGATTTCCTCCTTCCGCCCTCATCTCCGTGCCAAGAGCTCCAGCCAGCCCCTCAATGCCTTCCGCTCCAGCAGCGACTTCGCCTCCCCCCTTCCCAAGGTTGCCACCCGAGGAACGATCCCCAGGCGCATTCTCAGGAGGAGATAAGGCGTTGATCACTGCTTCAATGCGGGCCTTTTCATCGTCTGACGGCCACTTCAAACTCATGGCGCTACGACCTGGTAGTAGTCGAAAAACATCCATGTGCAAGGCATTTCTGTAGAGCGTTCCCACTGTGCATCTGCCAGCCTGTCGTGCACAGGCATGCAAAGCTGCCCGGCGATCTGGATAGGTAGTGTCAGCCCACCAGTCGAAGTATGGGTCCTCCACAGCCAGGATCTTCGACATCCAGACCTCACCTTCGTCATGAGCTCCAGCATCTCCTTTTGAACTCAGCTGGGCCACTAGCCGTCCTTGAGCATCGCCCCGGTCATCATAGACCGCCAGCTCAACCAGGGCTCCGTCACAAAGCCCCAGCCAATGATCCTCCTTGGCTTTCCGGCCTGTCTTCCTCCACGGTTCCGGTTCGACCATCAAGGGCACGGACCTATCCTACACCAAGGAAGCCCTTAATGCAGGTGCCGTCTATCCCCCGAAGATCTCCCCTTCACCGTAGAGACAGGCCTCTTTGTCAAATCTTCAGCTTAAAAGCCCAAGTGCTGCGGGAGTTTACAGGACATTTCACACTATCATTACGGAGGCCCATGAGTTAGCTGGAAACACACTTTCTATTCGAATGACCCCCACTGCTAATCCATTGCGAGGTTTGTAGTGGGGTTGCTATAAATTGCCCGGCCCTATGATTGTTGGTCATCTCCACATATTGGGAGATCCCACCATTTTCTTGGGAGATTCCTGTGCTTTGGTACCCTTAGTCTAGCTTCCAGCCCGAGTCCTGCAAGCCCGCGCAAATGCCACGTATCCGTTCCTGGTACCCAGTGCTGGACCATCAGCAAGTCATGCGGCAAAGTTGTGTTCTTGCGACTTGGCATCAGCAAAAATATGGCTATGGATTTTGAGAACCGTTGGGCGTTAATATTGTAGAATCTTAGATGTATAGCTATATAATAATACTAACTAATCACAGTCTTAGCCCGGAGCCAGAACCGGGATGTGGCCGGGCCCCATTTCTTTAGCATTTTTTTTTCGGAACGTTCGTCCTGTTCAGCACCTGTCCCCCAGTTTCGATACCACTTCTTCCTGCCAAGTGCCATGTTTTACCACCACTGTTGCTGCTTCAAGCCACCCAGTTTAACATATGCATCATAAACATCATATACATCACATACATCACACACACATGTATATATATATATACACATACACGCTTATATAGTTACATACTATGAATATAACAACATAATACAACATATACACATATGTAACAATCATCAACCCAGTTGTAACACGTCACATGGTCAACCGGTCGACCGGTCTTTCCAAGCGTCGACCTCTTGGAGGTGAAGTCCTCAGTGAATCGCAGCAGAAACGGGACTTTTACTGAGGAAATGATGATCTGGTTGGTGGTTGACCAACCCCTCTGAAAAAATTAGTCAATGGGAAGGATTATCCCATATATTATGGAAAATAAAAACTGTTCCAAACCACCAACCAGTGATACACTGAGGCAAGACTTGGAATGGTGAAAGACTTGAAAGGTGCTAACCACTCCAACCAAAATAGCTGCACACACACACACACCCGTTTCAAAGAATTCAGCTGCATGAGGGAACTTGACTATGCCGGACTATGCCATACTTCCAAAGCACACCCCGGATTCATGTTTCTAGAGTGAAAACAACATGGTTGGCGATTAAAACCTATCCCAAAAAATCTGCTCGTCATCTCACCCAATCATCCCGCTGGTATGGTTGAAAAAGAACCAGTAGATCAGTATATTGAAACCAGCATCCAAATAATAATGTGGTACCCTGGAGTAAACTAAGATAGCTATGGAAATCCACCGTTGTTTCCCGTTCAGAAATTATTCCAGAAAATAGTTCTGCCGTTTGGCTCGACAAACTGCCAAGCCCAGTGCGAAATCCAAGGCTCGCTTGGCATCCATCTCTAAAGCCTAGCTGCAGGTGTATGGAAGTCAATCATCGCAGGGATGATGATGATGATGATGATCATTATGATTATGGTTATGATTATGGCTATTGCTATAATTGTTACTATCATTATCATCATCATCTATCAGCATTATTGGTGTCATTCCATATTATTACTATTATCAACACCTGCCACTATGATGCTCACGATGATATCCCTATAAATATCAAGATTTCACCCATGATACCCCATTACATCCCATAAGACAGTGATATCTACCCAATTGTAAATCAGTTGTTTTTAAAAGACCATTAAACCCCATGTGAATCCCATATTCTATAGATTCTATAGTACCCATTCAACCGCCATTCTCCAAGTTTTTGCCTGGTAAACTAACAGTTTGCCATGGTCTACATGGCTCATTGATAGTTCATCTAACAAAAAATGGTGATTTCCCCAAAGTCTATCAAACAAGAATATACAACAAATGGTGATTTCCCCATAGTCTATCAAATCTATCAAACAAAAATATACCAAAAAATGGTGATTTCCGTTCGCAAACTGTTAGTTTCCTGGAAGCTCCGCACCTCCAATCTCCCCTTGAGCTCTCCCGCCACGGGCGGCAGAGGCGGTTGAGGCAGTTCCATTCCCAGCAGCCGCCGCGACGGGGAGGGCGGCGGCTCGCTGCCGTAGCGTCGCCGGCTCCCGGGCCAGAAGGACCTGGCGCCAGAAAGATGCGGAGCAAAGTCGTTGATGATCAATCTATTTAATAGAGATTATAATAGGATTTATAATAGATAATAGGATTTATAATAGATTCAAACTATTTATTGATTGATAATCTAATATGATTATAGTAGAGACCTGTTTTAATCGGATTTTAATGGATTCTACGGGTCACTCCGTGTATTTGTTGATCTGTATCAACATAGCAAGTTGAACACGGCAACAAACCATTGACTAAGGGTCACCAAGACAAGACTTGCTGGATTGAGGTTTTGGAAAACCAGAGAGAACACGTACCCTCTGGTAATTTAACATAGCTATTGAAAATTGCCATTAATAGTTGATTTTTCCATTAAAAATGATGATTTTCCATAGCTACGTTAAATTACCAGAGGGTAGTGAGTGGCAAACCATTTGTCCAACAGGCTCCAAGTAATTTCTCAGTATTTCAGCTGAAAATATAGACCCAAATGGATGCATTGCCCCATCGCCCCATCCCATCTGGATGAATTATACTGATTATAATTAACATCAAGCTGATAAAGTATATACATCCATATACATCCCAGAAAGTGGTTGGTGTCCATCCATCATCATCTATCTGGAAACATTCCAGCAACTCACCATGAAAAGTTTGGCCATTCGAGCCATCAAATACCCCCCCCATTTCATTCTACTGCTCGGATAATTGGTATCCCTAGGGCCCTTTTTCATAACAGAACAACCATCATAGGTCGATGATATTCCAGTTGATACTTGGAAACTCCATCAAACCCCATCATTGATACTCAACTGCCCCCATATCCCCATGATATCTCCATGTTTGCTGGTGAAATACCACTTTTTCCAGCGTTGCAGCTTCCAGTTCGGGGCAGCTACCACCTTTGCTGCTGGGGATGCCGCCTGGACTTCTTCTTGCTCAAATAATAATAATAAATAATAAAGCCCATTTATCCAGAAACTTGACGTTTCTTTCCTACGTATTGCTTTCCCCCATTTTCCATGCTGAAACCCAGCATTTTTCATGTAGCTAAGTCCAAATTACCTCCAAAAACTATGTAGTTAGATGGCTTTACAATGCTTTACAAATCAAGACACATCCTATTTCTCAGACCCAACCGGGGAACCGGATGGACCCGGGGGCCTTTATTGGCCTTTGCCATCCCCTGGCGTCCGCGTCCCGTGGCCTGCTTCCCGTGCTGGACTTCGCTTCCGGCGAGGCGGGCAAGCTGAGCCCCGCGCGGATCCGCGCCGTGGTTTCGGCCTGGGCGGTCTCGAAGGCCTGGCGGATGCAGGGGAGGGTGGCATAGATATCTACCAAAACATATAGGCAAAGAGAGGGATGACATCCATATATAATCACATATGTATATATATATATTCTTTATCATATTATATATATATTATATCCGTCTATCGAATGTAGTTTAATGTAATGAAATCACATCTATTGAACTCTGAGCTAATTATAGTTGTTCATGCGGATGTGCAAATTGTCTGCTCATTCTTATATACGCTGGACATCCATGCAGGGGTCAACCAATGACTGCAGGTTCTGGTTGACATCTTGGAATAGATTGAATACCTCCCCCAGAACCCCCTAGCTTAGTACTGAATTTGTTCATTTTAGGGTTCGGGATATATGGAAAATACTAGGGCGAATAGTGGGAAGGGCCTAGGGCCTAGGGATTTTCAATGGGACGCTGCCCAGCCTCGATCAAAGCATCTTGCGGGACATACTTTGGTACTCCGTTCCTTTGCGTCCGCAGCAGATTTTTGGTGATTTGAGTCACACAACCCGTGGCAGATCCACCACTATGAGGGTTTCCTGAGTCATGGAGGTACACCTATTATATAATGAATGGTATATGAATGGTTTACTAAAATGGATGATTTGGGGGTACCACCATTCTAGGAAACCTCCATATAAGGTTCTATAACTCATAATGTATCTCCTGCAATGCCTCCGGCCTCTGCTGTTCCCAAAGGCACTTTGCATTGCATCAGTTCAGTTGAAACATGTCAGCGCCAGGAATTCTTGGCATGGAAAACCATGCAATTTGTTGATACCTTGATCATCCCTTAAGTTGCCATCTATCATTCACAACTGCGTATATTTGAATATTCCCCAGAGCTCTCTAGACAAAAATACTCAAACAAGAATAGCAAACCAGGGGAAAACAGCAAGACATGGAAATACAATTCTCACATGGTTGGGCAACTCCTGGTAGCTCCTTGGCTCCCAATTTAATAGGGATGAATATGCGTACCCAAAGTTCCAAACCGCTTCCTCCTAAAAACGTATAGGCAAAAAAACCGACCTACCCAACATTGACGATTTTACCAATGTTCAGCATTGAGGCCGTAAGCCACGAGTCAGCAGCCAAACTTGGGGTTTCAACGAATCAACATGAAGGACGCCTGAGATGTTCACCAGCCATTTTTTGAACTGCCTCATTTCTGCTGAAAAACACGTAACTTGACTTAGCACCACCAACATTGTATGGATCCCCAGTAACGGTTCAAATCTCTTGGCTATTGAAACGTAAGACTCTTGACTGTTAGAATTAACATGTTCGTGATTCAAATTGTCCACGTGGTAGCATGTTGGGAAACATGCCAATGTTTGCTGGTTATGCTGGTCTCATGTCCTTGCTTTTGGGGATGAATCACAATTTTCAATCCACAAAGTTCCGCGGATTTATCCAAATCCAATGAGTGCTTATAATGTATATATGTATATATATATACATATATATACATATATATATACATACACACACACACATATATATATATATATATAATTGTATATACACCTCTTCTTTCCAAATCGGACACTCGTTGATTTTTGGATTCCCAAGTGCAAGAAACCACCATTATCCAGCATTTCTGGATCCAAATTATTTTGTCTGAAAAGAGGGGCACCCCCCAAATCCAATGCTTGATCTGCCAAGCACCTTTTTCTTGGGTCATATTCCATTCCATCCTCAATGAATTCCATTATAAACCAATATAAAATATGGACATCCATCAAAAATAAGCTACAAATTTCTTAGGAATTCCATGATAAACCAGTATAAATTCCATAAATGATCTCAACTTCCATGGAAATCACCAGGTTTTCTATGGAAATCACCGAGCAGCTTCAATGCTCCGAACTTGCTATGCAACTGCGGCCAGGTCGGTGGTGGAGGCAGCCGCTGTTCCAGCATGGCTTCCGGGGAAGCTATGGATCGATACGGATTTTTATGTGCTATGGTTACCATTCCCAGTCAAAACGGTGGTAAAAATGGCATGGTTTTACCCACTTTTGCCACTTTTTTATAATCATTCACAATTATTACCCTCTGGTTATGTCAAAATAGCTATTGAAAATTGCACCATAAGTTGATCTACCTATTCAACATATTTGAAAATGGTGATTTTCCATAGCTATGGTTGTTTACCAGAGGGTGATAATGTGGTAAAGCCAATCATACATTTTATACCACTCCACTTCTCGTGAAATGGGGGATGGCTTATTGTCGTGTGTGCCACATTGCCGTTGTTTCGGGGTTTTTCCAGTGAGCTTTCCCTGCAGCCAATTCTGGGATTGATGGCTTATTGAAAGACCAAGAGCAATTGTTACTTTCAAACATCACAATGTTTGCTAAAGTTCAACTTCAAAGCTCAACACATTTAGGTTAAAACATCCTCACACAACCAATTGGCATCATTTCCCCACTGAGGCTAAGGCTTGCAATGGTAACATTAAGCATCTGGACGCTTCTCCAACTGCGTATCTGAATGTTGTTTTTTTTGAAGGCCGAGAAGCTTATTTTTTTTGTTGATCCGACCAACGTCCTTTCGGGTGATTATCTAGATGGGCTGGTTTGGCATATCATTATCACATACCTATTGGGGGTGGTGGCGATGACATGGGTTGACCCCTCTATCAACCAACCATCCAATCTCTAGGGATACCTTTGCAGGTCACTGCCTTGCGAATTTCTTGGTCAGGGTCATTGGGTTTCGCGGGCGCACATTTGAGCCAAACCATTGTCTAGACTGCAACCTCACATTTCATAGCTGGAACCCTCTCTCATGGTAATTACCCTAGGGTAAACCTTTTTGTAGATGATAGATGTGGAAAATTTGATGAAACATTAACAAATTCTAGATGATTTCCCCAGGAAAACATAGAAGATTTCCCACATCTATGTTAGTTGACCCTGGGGTATTCAAAAAGGCTAAAGCCACGTGGTATTTTAAAGTTTTTCGTGAAACCGTGAAACCGAGACTCCGGGATCATTCAGTTACTTTACCCTCTGGGAATGGCTGACAGCTATTAAACATGGCCATTGATAGTGAGGTTTTCCCATTAAAAAAAATTGTGATTTTCCATAGTTTTTTGTATGTTTACCAGAGAGTACCCATTTCGATTCATTTGTCAACTCTCATCACTTCCCCCATGGCGCAGCTATTCCATCGCGGCCGTCCTGCTTTTCTGCCGCCTCGTCGCGTCGTCCAACGTCGCCACAAAACTCCGGGGCGCCGACTGCGCGAGCGCCACGCCAGGCTCCCGCAGCGACAACGGCCATGTGGATCTGTGGTGCCCCATGGTGACCCCCAGTGATGTTCGTTATGTTAGTTAGTTGGTTTCTAGCCCCTTGGAAAATTGTAGTTATATCATCTGGTTGGTGGCTTCAACCCCTCTGAAAAATATTGTATATATAGTCAGTTGGGATGATTATTCCCAATAAATGGGAAAAATGTGCCAAACCACCAACCAGTCATGTTAAATCATGTTATATCACCCCCAGAACCTCACCGTTTGCGAATTTGCGAACTGCAACATCACCATTTTCATAGGTAAATCATGGTAAATTTATTTACCAAAATTTACCATCTATGAATAGGCCATGGCTTGCATAGAAACACTCTTAGTTTACCAGGGCGGTAATCATTCGAAACTCCGCGGGGTTGTCACGTGACGCTTGGGTGCACCCTCTTGCCGCATGGGCTCCTCATATCGTACCCCCGGGCCCACATCGCGATGTGGGCAATGGATTGACCAAAGAAATGTCATTGATCCTCTGGTTTTATTCATTTCAAACCCTTGAGAGACATCATGGCCAAAATAGACTATCATATGCATATATGAATATGAATATGTATATGCATATATATACATCAATGTAAATATAACTATACATATATAATTAATATACATATACATATACAGTACACATAGTAATAATGATAATAAAAATAATGATAATAATAATATTAATATATATATATAGTTGTATACATACAATTACACATTATATATATATGACGCTTTTCCAAAACATCCAAGAGAAAAACTGTTGGCTGAGCCAGCGTCCAGTTCTGGCCATCATCCCGTTGAAGAAATGAATCTAGAAATATGCAAGCTGTGAATATTGGATCAATAATATTAGATCAATACTTGTATGATTCTAGAACAGTGTTTTATTGTAAATAGAGAGAATCACCTAGAATAATATAGAATCACTTAAACTCATTGCAAATCAATTCAACAGTCCTCCAAGGATCTTTTTCTCTCGGATTACTGCTTGGTGATCACAGCCACACCAAGTCGCCCATATCAATCCAAGCAATGGAGGGCGGGAGTTCCACTTCCAAAGCGCCTTTCTCTTCGCCACGAAAAAATCACCAGGTCACAGGTCGCTGGAACCAGGTGTATCTCAAGGGAGCATAGCCCTGAATGGAGGTGTTAATGTCATAGAATTGGATTATGGGAAAATTTACAGGAAAGCCCTATATTTGATGGTAAAAACCATGGTTTCCTGTAGATTTTCCCTTAAACCAATCATTTGATAATGTGGAATAATGTGGAAACCATCGAACTATATGAAGGATATTGAAGGATGGGAAGCACGATGTTGCTTTGCCGTGTTTGATTGAGGGAAAAGAAAAGATCTGATGGGAAGAAATGGTGGGATACATCACTTGAATGGGACCTATTTTGTTTCAGGTGAGCCACTTGCTAACCCCATGGTTTAGGTCCCACTTTCACTTCGCCGTGGATTAAAAACATATGATGATTCCAACCCGTCCTCAACACTGTCAGTCAATACAGTAAGGGATCATCTTGTGAAGTATTTTTTCAAGCAGGGACCACGTGTTCCTCCATCTCGGTACCAGCTTTCCCTCTGGTTATCTAACAACAGCTATGGAAATCACCCGAAAGAATAGATGATCAAAACCCTGATTGACTTGTTAAAAAATATGGTGTTTTTCTATAGCCCAGAGGGTTTTTCCGAACAAAGGCTATCTCTGAGTCACCTTTCACCAACCTGTTTTTTTTGGTGAAATCGCAGCAGCGGCCACCACCATCTTCGCATGGTGAAATCGCTGGCTCACTGATTTTCGGAGACCTCTGCGGTGAGTTTCTGGTAAACTTTATGGTTCCTAAGTTGCCAGTCAACAAGCTGCATCATCATCAAATACTTCCATATATATATATAATATACACATATATGTACATAATTGTACATATATGTTGATACACATGTATATATATATATATAGGCATATATTCAGATTCTCCTCTTTTTGCAGCTCTGCGAGAGCAAAATAAATACAACCACAATTTTCCAGCAAAATAAATACAATAATCATTCCATGAAGGTGTCTAGGCGTTGGGTCACCAGTCAACCCTGCTGATTGCCACAAAGGAAGAATACAATTTGCAGGACCACCCTGTATATGGCAGTTAAAAGCACAATTTCCCGTACATTTGCCCTAAAACCCAACCATTGACATGGCAAATCAATTCGTTTTCAATATAATAAGCCCAGGAAATACAGAACATCTTTGATTTTCATTGATTTCCCACTATTCAGGATTGGATTTGCACCACGCACACTAGAAACTATCAGAACTTGGGCGTTTAAAATCGTTTAAATCTATCTTGACCAGAAGAGGTTGCTAAGAGTGGAAGGGATGCGTCCCATTCCTTCCCAGGCGGCACCTCAGCCACATAACGCTTGGCAAATTCCACCACACGATCTGCCTCGGCCTATGCAACAAAATGCGCAACGAGTTGTGGAGCAGGTAGGGAGCAATTCCATACGACCTGTACCGTCATGGAATACCACCCTGAAAGCCAAGGTTTAGTGTTGGACTGTTGGATCTATTCCGGGAGGGTCCCTGGAAATTGGGACAATTGGGGGCATTGTGGCAGCCATATGGATTCATCTGGCCCTCCAAAATCTTGTGATCACCCGACATTTTTAAGGGGCTACGGGACATAGCCACGTGGTAAAACCAATTTTATGAACCTGCAGTTGCGGCATGCTTTAACCTATTCCGAATAGTAAGTCATTGGGGATGGTTTACTACTGGTTTTACCACATCAACCCGGACATTTGTCAGTTTCAACCCCTCTGAGATGCAGATCATCATGCCATTTGTTGGATGGACAGTCGCAAGGTCATGATCGAAACCGCCAACCAATATCAATTCTTTATACCTCTATCTGCCTACGATACCCTGCGCTAATCAAACATGGATCTTGAAATTCCACTATTTATAGATAATGATACCATCTGGTTATTTAACATAGCCATGGAAAATCACCATTTTTAATAGGTAAACCAACTATAAGTGGGCCATTTTCCATGGCAAACTCAACCTCCAAAACGCGAGTTCGGCACCTTGAGGACTGGCTGTTGGTCCCCAGTCTTTGGCAGCTCTGTGTGTAGGACCTCGGCAGCTAAAATTTTCAGTGGGACTATGGTGGCTACTTGGGATATAAATGGATATAACATGTTGGACATATGGGACATACCCTCTGGTAAACTAACATAACTATGGAAAATCACAATTTTTAATGGGTAAATCCACTATAAAATGGCCATTTTCAATAGCTATGTTAAATTACCAGAGGGTAACATTTGGGACACTTGGGAACTTGCTAACACCATATTCTTTGTGTTGGGATGTTTTTGGGATATTGACATAGTATGTAATTGGCTAATTCAGTGATATGAATTGGATATATGTGGCAGGGACCTTTGGGGTCTATTTCGTTCGTTGGCCTAGAAAGGCATCTTCTTCAATCTAATGAGCGCTACAGCAAACATGTGTATAATCGCGCGAGACTTTCCGAAGCGCTGGACGTTGATCGGAGACAGTAACTGGGATGGGAGGGTGGGACTGTTAAACACATGTACTGGCTTGCTCGTTGCTGCGCCCTTGCTGCAAAGCTCAGATGAAGGGCTGGGCACGCAGAATCTTTTGAAACTGAACATGTTCATCCACAACCTCCTGCAGCGCTCTGCGTGGATATAACGTTTTGGTTTCTTCATCCATGGGTATGGGATGGATCTGTTGCAGCCTCCATTTCCACGGTGGTGACTTCAATGGGCGGGAAGGCTGGGCGGGAAAACTGCTTCAAGTTTGCTGAAAAAGTTCCGCCAAAGGCTGGGCACTTTCTAGTTTTTTCGACGGAACATGTTTAAACACAACCTCCAGCAGCGCTCTGCGTGAGCATGACGTTTTGGTTTCTTCATCCGTGGATATGGGATAGATCTGTTTCAGCCTATGTCCATGGTGGCGACTATGGACGGGAAGGCTGGGCGGAAAACTGCTGCACGCTTGCTGAAAAAGCTCTGCCAAAGGTTGGGCAGACAAAATATCGACTTTTTCAACGGAACATGTTTACCCACAACCTACTGCAGCGCTCTGCGTGAGTATGACATTTTCGTTTCTTCATTCATGGATATGGGATGGGTTGTTTCAGCCTCCATGTCCGTGGTGGCAGCAATCATGGATGGGAGGGCTGGGTGGGAAAACGGACGTGCTGGCTTGTGTGCTGTTGGGCGATTGCTGATGGTTGGGCACGCGAAGCTCCTTGTCAACGCTTCGTTAACCCGACAACGCGGTCCATATTGGAACAAGCCAGGCAACACCAACCACAGGCCCCAATCGTGCCTCCTCGATTGCAGTGAACCCTTGCAAGCCTACCAGGGCACTTGGTGAGACTGTTGCAAAAACTAAACAAGGAAGGTGGCACAGGACTTGCATCGCTTCGGACTTGCAAACACATCTGCAACACACATGTCACATATGCATGAACAGAGGCTTGGACTTTCTTTTCTCCAATCCGATGCACTGCTGCACGCTATCGTCGAAGCCTTTTCGGCTTGACGCCGGAAGATCGCCAATCCGATGCACTGCTGCACGCTATCGTCGAAGCCTTTTCGGCTTGACGCCGGAAGATCGAATCGAGTGCACACGTTTGACAGAGTGGACTGTCCTCTTTCCGCGTCTCTTCATGGGGATTGTTTGCTTCCACTTCTGTACCTTTCTGGCTTCCGCTTGCCGCGCCCGATGCAAAGGTACAGGTGCCTTGGCAGACGAGCAACAGTTTTGCCAGGTGGCATCGGTCCAGACATCAGTGGCCACTGCCCGCGCAAGCAGGACAGCTTCTGAAGTCTGCTCCACCGTAGGAAAACACGAGGCGACATGATGGGCGAGCACCTTGCCAAACTGCATAATTTCAAGCTTCAGCCGCAGTGTGCTCTGGTGCAATGAGCGGGTGGACTTAGTCCACGAATTTATCTCGGCATGAAGGGACTCATTAGAGGACGTGCCGCTTGGCAGCAACCCCCGCTCTAGAGGGGTTAGATCGTGCCGCACACGTTGTTCCTCAGCCATTCCAATCTATCTGGTGCTGTGGCTGCCCAAAGAACCTTCCTAATTTCTTTGTTGGAGCCTGTCACTTTACGGCTCACCTCACGTGGGTACGTTGCACAAAGGGCGGCTAATGCCTCAATGAAGGTGATTCGGCAGAACAAAGGCGAATCTGGATGAAGGTTGTCCAGGATGCGTTTGGCCCTGGTTGCGCCCATGCTGCCGTCAGTGATGAGATGTCGTGCCCGCTCTTCATCGCGAGTCAGGCTTGGCGGTGCGGTGCCAGTGAAGAGGGGCCCCCAAGAGCTGGAACGCATGTTCGGGGCTACCTGGTTCATCTTATGTAGCAAACACCGTAGAACTTTCGATCCAGCCGTCTTCTTCCCCCACTGGGCATATTCGTAGACAATGGCCAGATGAACAGGATCCAAGGAGAGGCAGCTCAGGTTTGGGCAGATCTCTTTCAACTCGCGGAAGAGCTTAGGAGAGGGGTTGTCCGTAGCTAAATATCGAACCTGGAACAATGCCTGGTTGGAGAAAAGATTGCGCAGAGATTCCTTGATCTTTGGTGACTCTTCACTCGGAACAGGAACCATGCCTAAGACGGCACCGGTACGCCCCCTGATAGTCAGCACCCTTCTCAAAGAATGCTCATCATCAAAGCAAGCCGCATTTCGGGTTTGGGCCGATGCTCTATAGTTTGCTTGTCCCTGCACAGTCATGCAGACTTTGAGTGTAGCATCAATGGACAAGCACAAGAATTCCTGACTGTGTTCCAAAGTTTTGAAGATGGAGCTCTTCAAGCTTTGGACTTGATAGGACATGTAGATGTCCTCCACAAGAGGCCACCAATGACGTGTATGGGAAGGGTACAAGTTCCCAAGCATGTTGCCGGCTTCCAAAGCCCGCAAATGTACACGAGGCCAAATGCTCTTGACCTCAGAAAAGAACTATGAACATCATTCCAAGGCATGGTTGACACCGTAAAAAAATATGATCCAGCTCTGACACAAGTTAAAACGATGACATTGCACGTGCATGTTCTGCTGCTGCCAAGGAACACTCGAATGGTGCAAGACAATTTCCCTGTAGACCATTTCGGCAAAGGATTTGTCGTAATAGATGTTCAACACTCTGCGGGCAACGATTTGTTCTCCAAGGGCCTTTTGGTTGACATATCTTGGACCGTCTTTCTCTAGCAGCAGGCGTAGGTTCTTGTCAATCAAACTCTTGTTGCGGTCGAGAGGAGGAACCACTTGAGTTCTAAGGAGCATGGCACTGCGAAACAAGTAGTCTGCACCGTTCTCTTTGCGGACAGAATCTGAATCGTGCAAGGCCAAAATCACTTTTAACTGCTTCTTTCCTGAGCACACAAACTGCTTGGCGGCGACATGATGGCGCCTCAGGTGATCAGAGAGCTGGCACAAGCGACCAAAAGCTCGGAAAGGGCAGACAGGGCAACAGTATGCACCGTGCATCTTCCGAATGTTGTTGTGCTCAATTTCTTCCATGAAAGCATGAACTTCCTCCTCCAAGGAATCTTTGATGATGTCTTGGAAAGTGATTTGGCCCTCGTCGTCGATCACGAAGCGGGGCTCTGCTGGCTCTCCGCCCTCGTCATCGTCGTCAGAACTTGCACCGCCTTGCTTATCATCTGAGCTGCCGCCTTGAACATCATGACCCTGTTTGAATTCCCGAAGCTTCTGTCTGCACAGCATCACCTGCGACTCCCAAGCCCTCTTGCTTATCCCCCCATCGCATGGGTTGGGAATCTCACCCAAGAAGTCTGAGGCATGCAATGTATCACAATGATTCCTGAGCATAGATATGTACACCCTCAATCTTTTTTCTACGCGGGTGACCAGCGCAGAATCTTGAATACTCCGCTACCAGCTCCCCTACCAGCTCCGCTACTGACATGCAACAGCAGCAACACCAGCCCCACATCCGATATAATTCGGTGACCGATAAGGCTCCCTTTTCGCAACTTTTTAGGGTGGGTGGGTTCTAGCTTGTAGCCAAAACGACAACTGCCCTAACAGAGCTGTTATACCTCTCTTGTTTGTCGGCCTTTTGGTTTCTCATAGACCATCTCCAGCAGACAGTTCGGCCGTGTTGCCCAAAGCAAACAAAGGCACCATCAAGCAATCAAGCATGTGATTCCCTCCCGCGACACCAGCTATAGGAATACTCCGCTACCAGCTCCCCTACCAGCTCCGCTACCGACATGCAACAGCAGCAATACCAGCCCCACATCCGATATAATTCGGTGACAGATAAGGCTCCCTTTTCGCAACTTTTTAGGCTGGGCGGGTTCCAGCTTGTAGCCAAAACGACAACTGCCCTAACAGAGCTGTTATACCTCTCTTGTTTGTTGGCCTTTTGGTTTCTCATAGACCATCTCCAGCAGACAGTTCGGCCGTGTTGCCCAAAGCAAACAAAGGCACCATCAAGCATGTGATTCCCTCCCGCGAAACCAGCTAGGAATACTCCGCTACCAGCTCCCCTACCAGCTCCGCTACCGACATGCAACAGCAGCAACACCAGCCCCGCATCCGATATAATTCGGTGACAGATAAGGCTCCCTTTTCGCAACTTTTTAGGGTGAGTAGGTTCTAGCTTGTAGCCAAAACGACAACTGCCCTAACAGAGCTGTTATACCTCTCTTGTTTGTCGGTCTATTAGCTTCTCACGCAGCATCCGTCAGTCTAGATTGTACAATGAAGCATGAATGGTCCCTGCCAAATCAATAATATGTCATATGTACTATGCCATCATATTTCAAAGGTTTTCTGTTTTAGAAAAAGAACTATATATTATAATATGTTAATGGGAAAAACGCAAGCCAAGAACAAGAATATACAAAAAGGTACAACCAGAAGCTTGAAAAACAAGCTTAAAAATGTTAAAAGGTAAGTCCAGCAAAGCAAATACAAAGGCAAAAGCCAAGAAGCAGGCGCAAAGGCCAAGAAGCAGGCGCAAAGGCCAAGAGACAGGCGCAAAGGCCAAGAGACAGGCGCAAAGGCCAAGAGACAGGCGCAAAGGCCCCAGGAGAAGAGGAAGAGAAAGGCGCAAAGGCCACGAGACAGGCTTAAAGGCCAAGAGACAGGCGCAAAGGCCAAGAGACAGGCGCAAAGGCCAAGAGACAGGCGCAAAGGCCACGAGACAGGCGCAAAGGCCAAGAGACAGGCGCAAAGGCCACGAGACAGGCGCAAAGGCCAAGAGACAGGCGCAAAGGCCAAGAGACAGGCGCAAAGGCCAAGAGGCAGGCGCAAAGGCCAAGAGACAGGCGCAAAGGCCAAGAGACAGGCGCAAAGGCCAAGAGACAGGCGCAAAGGCCAAGAGACAGGCGCAAAGGCCAAGAGACAGGAGCAAAGGCCAAGAGACAGGCGCAAAGGCCAAGAGACAGGCGCAAAGGCCAAGAGACAGGCGCAAAGGCCAAGAAGCAGGCGCAAAGGCCACGAGACAGGCGCAAAGGCCAAGAGACAGGCGCAAAGGCCAAGAGACAGGCGCAAAGGCCAAGAGACAGGCGCAAAGGCCAAGAGACAGGCGCAAAGGCCAAGAGACAGGCGCAAAGGCCAAGAGACAGGCGCAAAGGCCAAGAAGCAGGCGCAAAACCAAGAAACAGCCGCGAAATGTAATCCTTTTTAATCCGTTTAATCCTTTTAATCCCCCAGAGATCTGGAGTCTAAGGCCCAAGCATTGGATTAAATGATTTAATCCTTTTAATCCTTTTAATCCCCCAAAGGCTCTGGAGGATTAAAAGGATTATTAAAAGGATAAATGATTGGTCTCACCATGGGGGTATGGGGGTCTGGAGGAATAAAAGGATTAAAAGGATTAAATGATTTAATCCTTTTAATCCTTTTAATCCTCCAAAGCCTCTGGAGGATTAAAAGGATTAAATGCGTGGTCCTCACATTGGGGTTCTGGGGGCTCTGGAGGATTAAAAGGATTAAAAGGATTAAAAGGATTAAATGATTTAATCCTTTTAATCCATTTAATCCCCCAAAGGCTCTGGAGGATTAAAAGGATTAAAAGGATTAAATCATTTAATCCTTTTAATCCTTTTTATCCTCCAAAGCCTCTGGAGGACTAAAAGGATGAAAAGGATTAAATGCTTGGTCCTGACATTGGGGTTCTGGGGGCTCTGGAGGATTAAAAGGATTAAAGGGATTAAAAGGATTAAAAGGATTAAATGATTTAATCCTTTTAATCCTTTTAATCCCCCAAAGGCTCTGGAGGATTAAAAGGATTAAAAGGATTTAATCATTTAATCCTTTTAATCCATTTAATCCCCCAAAGGCTCTGGAGGATTAAAAGGATTAAAAGGATTAAATCATTTAATCCTTTTAATCCGTTTAATCCCCCAAAGGCTCTGGAGGATTAAAAGGATTAAAAGGATTAAATCATTTAATCCTTTTAATCCTTTTAGTTCTTTTAATCCCCCAGAGATCTGGAGTCTAAGGCCCAAGCATTGGATTAAATGATTTAATCCTTTTAATCCTTTTAATCCTCCAAAGCCTCTGGAGGATTAAAAGGATTAAAAGGATTAAAAGGATTAAAAGGATTAAAAGGATTAAATGCTTGGTCGTCACATTGGGGTTCTGGGGGCTCTGGAGGATTAAAAGGATTAAAAGGATTAAAAGGATTAAAAGGATTAAATGATTTAATCCTTTTAATCCTTTTAATCCCCCAAAAGCTCTGGAGGATTAAAAGGATTAAAAGAATTAAATCATTTAATCCTTTTAATCCATTTAATCCCCCAAAGGCTCTGGAGGATTAAAAGGATTAAAAGGATTAAATCATTTAATCCTTTTAATCCGTTTAATCCCCCAAAGGCTCTGGAGGATTAAAAGGATTAAAAGGATTAATGCGTGGTGGTCCTCACCATTGGGGTTCTGGGGGCTCTGGAGGATTAAAGGATTAAGGATATTAAAAGGATTTAAATGATAAATTCCTTTAATCCTTTTAATCCTCCAGCAGGCCTTTGGGGGATTAATGGTTAAAAGGCTTAAAGGATTTAATCCTTTAATCCTTGTAATCCGTTAATCATCCAGAGCCCCAGAACCCCAATGTGACGACCAAGCATAATCCTTTTAATCCTTTTAATCCATTTAATCCCCCAAAGGCTCTGGAGGATTAAAAGGATTAAAAGGATTAAATCATTTAATCCTTTTAATCCGTTTAATCCCCCAAAGGCTCTGGAGGATTAAAAGGATTAAAAGGATTAAATCATTTAATCCTTTTAATCCTTTGAATCCTTTTAATCCCCCAGAGATCTGGAGTCTAAGGCCCAAGCATTGGATTAAATGATTTAATCCTTTTAATCCTTTTAATCCTCCAAAGCCTCTGGAGGATTAAAAGGATTAAAAGGATTAAATGCGTGGTCATCACATTGGGGTTCTGGGGGCTCTGGAGGATTAAAAGGATTAAAAGGATTAAATGATTTAATCCTTTTAATCCTTTTAATCCCCCAAAGGCTCTGGAGGATTAAAAGGATTAAAAGGATTAAATCATTTAATCCTTTTAATCCATTTAATCCCCCAAAGGCTCTGGAGGATTAAAAGGATTAAAAGGATTTAATCCTTTTAATCCTTTTAATCCTTTTAATCCTCCAGAGCCCCCAGAACCACAATGTGAGGACCAAGCATTTAATCCTTTTAATCCTTTTAATCCTCCAGAGGCTTTGGAGGATTAAAAGGATTAAAAGGATTAAATGATTTAATCCTTTTAATTCGTTTAATCCCCCAAAGGCTCTGGAGGATTAAAAGGATTAAAAGGATTAAATCATTTAATTCTTTAAATCCTCTCAATTTTCCAAAAAGCTTTAAACATTATCAGAATTAACCGGAACAAAATGGTACCTAAAGGTCTCTCGATCATAATTATATACATCCCACTGCATTTGTTGATATGTATCAGTACTTGATGGATTATCATGCCATTACATCCAAACAAGTATATAGTAAGATCAACACAATCATCACATATGAACTATCAATGAGATCCACCCACTTTGATTGCATTCCAAAGAACAGTTGCTTCCTATTTGTGTTAAATTCGCGATCCCAATATTCTTTGCCAATCTTGCAATTTTGTCGCCAGAAGTGCCATTTGGCAACCCCCTTTTTTATGTTTTGTTTATACGGAATCAGTTTCACCGAAAAAATCTGGGACCTGCCACAGAAAAAAACGTTCAATGGACGAGGCCCGAGGACGGTGATGACAGCGGAAGATGACGGCCGCTTGCAGCGGCGACAGCATCCAGGAAGGTGGGGAATTCTAGGGGTGCCCTTAAACCAGTTTACATTGGCCCTAAAAAATAAGTTGCCCTTGGGTTATTTAATGTAATTAATAAGCTACGGAAAATGTACCATTTATAGATGATTTATGATGATTTACTTATTAAAAATGGTGATGTCCATGGCTACGTTAAATAACCAAAGGCTATATGATATGTTTTACATTGCTATGGTAATGTTCATCAGTTATAAGCAGTTAAATTACATAGCTATGGAAAATCACCATATGAAAGCAAGGGGGGCTCTCTGGTAATTTGACATTGCTATGGAAAATAGCTTATTTGTATACGTATAGTATAGTTGTTTTACCTAGTAGTGAAATTAGTGATTTTCCATAGCTATGTTGGTTGGATAAAAGATCACTCTGAACGATCTGGAAATTACATATCCACTTCATTTTGACCTCCAACTGGTAC